TTAAATTCTGAAGATTTATTGTCATCCAAATCATATTTTAAATTTAACAAATTTAATATGGAATTTAATTTAACATAAAGATCACTTACATTTCTAAAAATTATACAGTCTGCTTCTTCTTTTAATTTCAAATAAGATTTCTGTACTCCGAAGGTAGCTTTCAGTTGTTGTTTTACTTCGTCCCAAGTTTTTTCCTGAATTCTCCGGATTGCTGCCGCTGCAGGACCCTGGATCTTGCTGTACAAAATTCTGTATAGATAGTTTTTTGCATCGGCATCCGCTGCTAAGGCAATTAAACTTTCGACTTCTTCGATGAAGGATTTTAGACTGTAGGCGTCTTGTCCAGTAAAAATTGGTACTGAACGAGCTTCGCCTATCAAGTCTTTTAATGTAATTGCAGCAAGTGACATGTTAAAATTTTTTTGTATATTTTTTAGATTATCAAAGTATTTTTCTTTTTCACTTTTCTTCATAAATGTTAAAAAAAAAATATTTTGGTTTTTTTTTTTTTTTTTTTTTTTTTTTTTTTTTTCTCTTTTTATAATTTTTGTTTTATCAATTTAATTAGTTGTAAAATTTGATTTGATTAAAGATCTTTTAATAGATATTTTATTTGTGTTTTACTTATAATTTTTGTTCGTTTATTTACCGAATTAACTTTTTGAAAAAAGTTCTCCGCCTTTACACAACTAAACTTTTATCACTCAGTTCACCACAAAATTTTTTTTTTATTATTATTATTTAATTTTGCTTAATGGTTTGAGCATTACACTATTTTATTTTCTAGTTTTTTGTTCATTTAAATTGACTTAAGAAAAATATTAGTGTTTTCTTTTTTTTTGTTTAGATTTTTTTTTTGTTTTTATAGACGGAGTCGGTATCCTACCGACTGCGCCAATTAAATTATAAGTTTTTACTTTACACAAAAAAAATATTTTAAGATTTATAAAAGTTCTTTTTATTTCATTTATTAATTAATTACACTTTAATTTCTAATTCCAAACTTATTAACTTTATTTTTAAATCTTTATTTTCTAAACGGCAAAACGATTTAATAACTAACGAGCTACTGAATTACCAACCAAGCAAAGCTGCTATTGAATTTACTCTATTTATAAGAAATAACTGTTTAGTAAGCAAAAAATTGTTTAGAATAATTCTCATGGGAAAGTTTTAATATTGTAATTTGAATATTTGGAACTTTGCTTTAGTTTTGTCTGTAAAAGTTCAATCACGTTGCAATTAAATGATTTCATATAGGAGTTTAATTGCAACGTTGAATTTTAATTTTAATTTAAAATAAATATTTTGTTTTTGTCAAATCACGTTGCGATTAAATGATTTAGAATAGGTTTAAGTAATAAAGTATGGAAATTTGATCGCAACGTTCGATTTAATTTTAGTTATAGTTAAATTTTATTTTTTGGTGTTCCGGGCGTAAGCGAATATATAACTTACATACATGAGTTATGAGAAAAATATTTTTCAACTAATTACGGTTTATCAATCAATAAAATTTTCTCATTTATAAACTATAAAATAGAGAAAAACAATACTCATGCATGTATACATGTTTATGAAAATTCCAATGTATTGCAGCATGATAAATAAAAACAAATTTTTTATTATTTTCTCTTAAACATTTTGTATACAAATATTATTCAAATATTAATGTACATATACTAGCTATATACATATATATCTTGTTAGTTATTTATTAATTATTAATAACATTATAAAAAAAAACAAGTTGTAAATTTAAATTTATAAACGCATAAATATCGCATATTTTGTAATCGCAGCAAAACATACATATATGCAAAACATATGTACATATGTACGAGTATGTTCACAAATATATAAAAATACTGAATGTATACTTTAAAAACAAAAACATTGTAAACACATAAGTATAAAAAACAGAAAAAAAAACAAATTGCTTTATTTTATTATAAGATATAAAGTGTTCAACAATAAGATATAAAATATTCTTAAAAGTAAAAAAATTAATGAAATTTCCCTATGCTCACCCCTGATATAAAATAATTAGTCAATAATTAAATATACATACATAATGTTGATAAAATTACAGTTAAATATATGTAGGGAAATGTAAAAAATCATTTCCCTTCAAATTACGAAGAAAATCTTAAAGGGAAGAAATTGAAAATCTTTGAATAATGAAAAAAACTAAGAAAGCTTGGTAGTTTTATATAAAGTAAGTTATATTTTATTTTTCAAGTTAGTGAAATTAAAATAAAATGTTATTTGTTTAATTGAATTATTCAAATAATTGTTAAAATTTAAAAATAAAAAAAAAATAGTTTTGTAGAATTTGTTTACTATTATGTCGGGATTTAATAAAAATTCTTGTTCAGAATATTAGGCAGTCAGTGTTAAAATTTGTGCGTTTCTCGGCTGGGAAGCTCATAAAATTTGATGATCACTAAAACAGATTTCTATTGCTTATTCTATACAACATTTTAAGGATAAAAATTAATTATGTATAATATTCATAAATGTGGTGAATCGTAAAAATTTTCATCTCCATTATGATCGTAAAGTCAATCGCATTTTATTCTTACTCATATAATTGATTTGAGTATAGAAAATTCCAGTAAAATAATATTATAAACAAAAAGCTTTTTAATTTTACAAATACACAATATTAAAAAACATTTTATATACATTACACATATTTATATAAACATATACATACATATATGTATTGAATTGTATTGTAAAATAAAAGAGGCTTGTTTTTATTTTGCATCTGGACTAAAAAATATTAATTAAATAAAAGTAAAAGAAAATTAACAGAATGAACAGAAAGAAAAAAAAAAATAATATTTTGCTTTTAATTTTTAATCATCTGAATTACATTAAATCTTCAAGTTCAAAGGTTAATTTTAATTCTTAATCGAAGAATTATTTGTTTTTTCATAAAATCATTTAAATTCCTTGAACACAATATCCTGAAACTTTTAGACTTTTATTGGATAACTTATTTGTATAAAGAAATCATTTTTGATTTTCGCTCCAGATTATTCAAATTTTATGAATTTTTATGTTTTCATGTAATATTTGGTAATAATTATTAAAAATGTTGGCTTAATAGTAAATTTTCAATTTTTAAAATATCATTAAAAATGTTTTTTAAATTTATATTTTCAAATTTCTAGATACCAATACTTAAATTTATTTTATTAATTTTGTTGCTATGTATTAAAATATTTTAATTCATACCATACCACATATGCATATCATGAAGCGTGTACGTGAAATATTAGAGAAATATAGTACACCATACTAAATGAATTTCCTTTTTTTATTTTAAACCTAATTTAATTGAATAATATTGAAATTCTATTGAATATTCTTTAAAATATAATTTTAATTTAATCAATGAAATTTTAGTATTTGAACAATGATGGAATTTATAATTATATAAAAAAGATATAGATTATTCTTAAAAATTTTTAAGCTTTTCTTTTATTTTTTGATTTTTGATTAAATATGATCAACGTGCATTGAATTTTCATTTTAAAGACAAAATCATACAATTTGTTAATTCGAGTTCAAAATTAATTATCATATAAATTGGAAGAGGGCTATTTTGAATTTAAAGTCAAAAACTATGTAAGTCAATGTAAGAATAAAAATTTTATCTATTGAAAGTAGATGATGTTAAATTCACTAGATTATTTTTAAATTTTCAATTGGATCAGCTCTAACTTATTTTTTTCGTACCACATTAGTGCGATAACCATCTCGCAAAAAAAAGTATAATGCGCTATAATTTGATTTGAAATATTTTCTTATTCATTAAATTAAAAGAGTTTTTGTGAAGAAAAAATGCCGCATATGTTAACATCAGCATCACAAGTATTTGAGAATATCGTCTAACAAGGTATCCGTTGCTGGAAAAAAGTTATTTTAAAAATTAAAAATTTAAGGAAAATATCATTGCTATTTTTTTTTTGCAATATCACCATCATTTACAAAATTTGCAAATATTTAAAACACTTTGTAGTGTCAACTTTTTAAGTCGACATCAAAACGTTACAAAATTCGACGTCAAAAAGAAATTTAAAATAAAAAGCTCGTAAATACTATTTTTTATTCACGTTTTCAATTGGCTTTTCTTATAAAAGGCCAGTGGTTTCAAAACATTTTAATTATGTCGAAAATATTAATTAAAAGTGGGTTTGTTATGGTACAAAATATTTCCATAGTTGTATTAAAATGTGTTCTTTTTAAAAGTTCATAATTATGGTCATGTAGGGCAGGTTTGTATCTTCGATCTTTTTTAATGAGCTGTACAAAGCTGAGAAATCTCTCAGTTGGAATGAGAAACTGAAAAATGCTGAGTAGAGAAATCAGTAATAGAACCCGATTTCGATCCATCCACTGCAGCTCTGAAGAGAACTTCTTTGAAAAAAATGGTAAGAACAGTTTCGCATGATGAATGAATCTAAGAATGAATTAAAATTCTTTTTAGAAAAGTTTAAAATTATCTGCTTAACTCCAGATAAAATCAAAATATAATTCTAATATTTCAAAACTGTTGCCAGTTAGTTACTTATGCTTTTTTTTTAATTTTTTATTTTTTTTTTTTTTTGGGTATCATTAAATATTTTATTTTTTGTTCTTTATAACGATTGTTTTTTTTATTTGTAGTTGTTAATAAGTGTAGAAAATCTAGCAGAAGTAACCATAATAAAAATCAATAAAAGCTAAAGACAAAAATCGATTCCAATTAGTTTTAAAGTTGATATCGTTCTAAGAACACTAGAAATTATCATACTATATACTAAATAATAAATATAAAAAATAAAAAAAAATTAATATATTAAAAATATAAATTTATTTGTATAATATTTGCATATCTAAAAAATTCTTTTAAATGATTTTTATTAATCAAATGAAAAATTACCATTTAAAAAATTATTATTTAATTCAATATTATTACAAATTAATTAGTATTACATAATATTGCTGGAAACATAGTTAATAACAAATTTAATAAAGAGAACAATTTAAATTATATAATTTCATAATTCAATTGAAATTAAAAGAAAAAAAAAGTGTTTAGCATTTCGCGCTTACGAAAATTTTTTAAAAAAAAAAATATTCAAAGTATAAAAAAATTTAGAGAAATTTTTTCGGATTTAATTCTTTTGTTATCAAAATACTTGATATTTAGAAAGAATTTAACAATTTTCTTTTTTGTGATAATGCCAACAAAGGGTATAAAATCATCAAAAATTCCCTCAGCAATTGGAAAAACAACCGATAATAAGAACCGTGAACAATTTCAACAAAAATCATCACAATTAGTTACTGATGATGACAATGAAATTACCCCAACAATTCATATGAATGGTGCAATTAAAAAACATGGTAAATCTCAGCGTACACAATGGAATGTTCAAGCAACTGAATATGCTAAAAAAACAAAAAATCATATTAGGCATGTTGTACAGGAATTAAAATTGGAACCGAATCCAGATAAACCAATGATACCATTATCCATTGGTAATATATTTTATTTATGTTCTATAATTATTATTATGTTATCAGTGATCAATTAGAAAGGATATTAATAAAATGTTTTATATATGAGACAAATAAATTAAAATTCTAATAATTAGAAAATTTTCATATAAACCAATAAGTTATTCGTGCTACTTCAACTTCAAAATTCGGACTTATTCAAGATGTTCATAATTTCGTTTAGAGTTCAAAATTTTTAAAATAATTTTAGAATGTTCTATTGCATTCTTAACTCGAATAAGGGAAAATTCAAGTTTTGTCATTTTTTACTAAATATATTTTTAACATAAATTTTTTACTATTTAAATTAAACTATGTATAACACGTTTGATAATACTCCTTATTGTACGCTCAGATGTAAAAATATTGACCAAATTAATTTTATAAATTTTCTCTTGATTATAAATTTTATATAATTTCTTATTGTTTAAGCATAAAACTCGAATATTTTCAAAGCCTTTTTTATGCACGACTCCTGTTTGTTTCTGTCATAGTTTTCTTTGAATTTTATATAAATAAATAACAGTCTTTTATATACTCTTATCTAGTTAACCACACTTATGTATACCATACAGCTTATGTATTTTACTACTACGTAACTCACAAAATATAATAAACTAATATAGAATATATTGATGTGTAATAAAATATTTAGTTTCTACATGTCAAAATTATTTATTAAAAAAATTCATAAAAATTTTAAATAAAATTATAAGGCGTTTTTAAATTTAAGAAAATTTTTAAGCCTAATCTTGCTTCTAAATTGTTATAGGAATTTTTAAATATTTATTGCATATAATTTCATTTACGTATAATTAAAAATTTTACATTCAGTATTTTTTATATATAAAAAATTGCAATTAGAGAGTAAAAAATTCTGAAAAAAATAATGCAGAAATTAATTAAAAGTAGTTTTTAGGATGTTAACAAAAAGATATAACATTTTTCATTTTGCTTGTATGTACAAATATTGTGTATTATTAAAATGCTTCTAACTTGGTATTTCGGAAACTGCTATAAAACACAAAATAATAAACAAATACAAGCTTATTTTAATTATAAATGCAATAGAAAATAAAAAATTAATATTAAAATTTCAGAAACATCCTAATAAATAAAAAAAAAATTAATTAAATGCAAAATTAATTAAAAAAGAATGCCAAGCAAAATAAAAAAAAATACAAAAAAATATAAAAATGAAGAAATGATAATCAGAAATCGAACCAGTTTTCTTGTTTTTCAAATAATCTAATATATTTTACTAAACATATTCATTATGTACACACACTTATTTCAATATACAAGTCTACATGCAAATATGTATGCAAATAACTATATCAATTGTATATATGTAATTAAATGTATATTATGAATTTTAATATACAAAATTTTATATAATACAGAAAACAGATAAATATTTAATTCTAATTTGAATATTTAATAAAATAAAAACAAAAAATAAAAAATAAAAACACAAGTTATTTCAAATGACGACGTTATAAACGGAATTAAAGCCCGAACCTGAAAACAAAAAAAAAAATGAAAAAATAAAAATGCGAATTTTTACTTGATATTTTTTTATTTTTAATATTTTTAAATTTTATTTTAAATTTATTCATAATCAAGAATTTTGATGGTCAAAAGCTCTAAAAAATTTTAATCTTTTTTTTTTCTTTCGTTATATAGGAAAAAAAGAAAGAAGTTAAGCAACTTTAATAAAAAAAAATTTCACATGCTAAAAACTAGATTAGCACTCACAAATTTGAAAATTCACTTATCACGAGCAATTTTTGAATAATTATGTTAATGACATTAAAATTTTTCGTTCTTAAACTATTTATAAAATTACTGTAATTTAAAATCGTGAAAAATAGAGAAAATTATTTTAAAATAGAAGAGCAAAACAAAAAATTCGTTAGGTATGCATTTTATTAAAGTGTGAAAAATTTCCTTTACCTAAAAGTATGCAATTGTAGAACTAGAATATTAATTACATATTATTCTTCAGCGTCTTCAAATTATAAATTTACTTTATATTAAGGGGAGTTTCCATAACTAAGGTCTTGATATAAAACACGTTCAGTAAATCCAAACTAGAAAATCTGCCAAAATAGCTTTTTCGAAAATGGAAGTTGTGCTTAAAGTTCTAAGGTATTTTTAAGTTTTTTCTTCATAACTACTGCAAAAATATTATAAATTACTAGAAGAGCCTAATAGAAAAATGTTGGATATTGAAGAATTACTAGAGTTTGCATTATATAAATCTGCAAAGTAAAATATTCAGTTTCTGCAGATTTGTAAAATATGTGTGAAAAAACTTTTAAAATTTAATTTAGAACTTTCTGTGCATGTCTGAATATTATCGAAAATCCTCTACTACAATTTCTTTCATCCCACAGTTCAATTAATTTTTCTGAATTAAAACATCATATATGTGTGTAGGCATTTGGAATGAAATTTAAATTTCTTTTATACAATCCTGATGATGCAAAATTTTACAAAATTCTAAAATATTTTTATTTTTATTTGAAAAACAACAATGATTGCTACCATACATTTTTTACTTGTGTTTTAAGAAAATATGCGACATATTTTTTTTATTATGTTGTTTTTTTGGATTTCAATTTTTAAGTTTGTAATGGACGAGTTTTAAAATGTCGTCATAGAAAAAAACTCACGCCTTTACATTAAGCCAATCAAAATCTTTTTACAACACCGATAAAAAATTTATTGAAATTCATAATGTAAATTTCTTTATTTATTAATTTTTGGATTTTATTCTGGAAAAAAAATAATGAAAATAACTGCTAATTTGCAAAAGGTCAATTGGTTTTGTTTTTTGTAATAGTATAAAATCATTTTACTATGCATTAGATATTAAAAAAAACAGTAATTAATGTAGAACTATTTGTCAGTATTTTAGTTTACTTTTAATTTTAAGAATATTAGCGCAATTTCATTTAATTTGTTTTTACCTCATTGCATACATATGTATATACTTATATTAGAAAACAAAACAAGGTCAATCATCGTATTGTAAATAATGCGAAAATTTACAAATGAAAACTATAAATTTGTTTTTTTTCTAAATCTCCTGTTTTATATTTGATAAAATGAGAAAGATATTTTCAATACTGTTGAAAAACTCTTACTTTTTAAATATATATACTATTTTATTTACATTATCGTTTAATATTTTTCAGGTGATCCTACTACATTTGGAAATCTTCAAGCATCTGATGAAACAATAAATGCTGTTAAAAAAGCTATGGAAAATTCTAAAGCTAATGGTTATGGACATTGTGCTGGTTTTGAAGAAGCTAGAGCTGCTGTTGCAAAATATTGTGAACATCAAGGAAAAGTAACAGCTGAAGATGTTATATTATGTTCTGGTTGTTCATCTTCATTAGATTTATGTATTACTGCATTAGCTGAAAAGGGACAAAATATTTTAATGCCTAGACCTGGTTTTTGTTTATACAAAACATTAGCTGAGGGTATTTCAGTTGAAGTTCGTTTGTATGATCTTTTACCAGAACATCAGTGGGAAGCTGATATTAATCAATTGGAAAGTTTAATTGATGATAAAACTGCTGCTATTATTGTTAATAATCCAAGTAATCCATGCGGGAGTGTGTTCAGTAAAAAAAATTTACAAGCTATAATTAAGGTTGCTGAAAGAAATTTCGTTCCGATTATTGCTGATGAAATTTATGAACATTTTGTATTTCCTGGATCAGAACACATTGCTGTAAGCACACTATCACAAAATGTACCGGTATTATCGTGTGGAGGTTTAACCAAAAGATTTTTAGTACCAGGATGGCGTTTAGGATGGATTGTCATACACGACAGACATGATATATTAAAAGATGCTACCCGTGGTTTAAAAAATTTAACTGGAAGAATTCTGGGACCAAATACATTAATACAAACAGCACTACCAGATATTTTAGAAAAAACTACTCAAAAATTTTTTGATGACACTATATCTGTTATTTATGTACGTTATAGTAATTTATTTTCATAACTTCCAAATATTAAAATTTTATACTTACCTAGTTATACTATATAGTAAAAATTCAATCAAGTATGTATTTAAAATATAATTACTTTTTTTTCCTTTTTTAGAAAAATGCATTTTTAGCTTTTGAGATGTTAAATAAGGTACCTGGTTTGAAACCGATAATGCCTGCTGGTGCCATGTATATGATGATAGGAATAGAAATTGATAAATTTCCAGAATTTCCAGATGATTTGGAATTCGTTCAACGTCTTGTAGGAGAACAAAGTGTATTTTGTTTACCAGGTGCTTGCTTCGATTATCCTAATTATATGAGAATAGTATTAACAGTACCTGGAGAAATGATCAAAGAAGCGGCAGATCGAATTGCTGAATTTTGTGAGAAGCACTATGAATCAGATAGCAATATTATTGAAAATAACTCCTTAGAATTAGCTAAGTGTTAATATACGTGTGTATTTCCTGTTGAAGCAAATTTTTACTTTTCAGTGTATGTTCTTTTTCTGCATTTTTTTCTGCTTCTTGATGTACTATTTCATTTTAATTAATATTTTTCAATGTTAAATTAGATTCTAAGTATGTTATGATTGTTAACCTGACTTATTAAAGTGTATAACGTTTTAATTTATAAGATAACATTCAAATAAAGATAGAAAATATTTTTTTTAAATTCGTATCTATTTACGTGCAATGATAATGATTTTGATTTTTAATATAAAAAGCTTTTCATTCAGATAAAATTCATTTTCGGCAATTTAAAATTATTATATTGTCACTAATGCGAAGAAAACAAATGAAACAAGATTATTAATTAATTTTGTATCCTATTGTATTTCATCTTCAAAAGTTTTTGTTGGAAATTACTACACAGTTATTATTTAAGTCTAAGAAATATTTGGTTAAAAAGGTCTCTCAATAAATGTATATTTGTACATAAAACTTATTGCAAAAAGTGACAATCGTTTTGGAAAACCTCTACACTTTTAAATTTACTTATTTAGCTTTAGTTGAATATAATTACCAAATTATGAAAGCTCACAATTTTTATCAATTTTTGAAAATTTTTTACGCTTTGAAATTTATTTACTTCAATTTTGGTTTAAAATTTACGCTTTCCAAATGAAAACGAGAATTTCTAATTTATTTATTTATTTATAATCATGCACTCCTTAAAATTTATACAATTTATACATATTGTTTATGATAAATAATTATGTAAAAAATCTGAAACAATTTTCTTTTATATAATTTTCTCGCTTTTAATTGAAGTAGACCTTAACTGAACTTATCCATATCTTATTTAAATAAATATTTAAGTACAAACAAAATAAAAACTGTATATTAAAAAGTCATATAACAGTTTAAAATATGGTTAAAAATTTTAAAGACTACACTTTATTTCTTTCGAAAAATATTGCTGATTGATCGTCTTTTTGGTGGTGTGTTCTGGAAATAAAAAAAAATAAAAGAAAAACATATTTTTAATACAAAAAATTAGTTTAGCTTTAATAAATGAATTATAGTTAGCTAAGTAAAAGATCTTTGGAGAAGAAGAAGTACCTTTGATAAAAGAAAAATAACTTATACCCCTAGTAACCCTCATAACGCTTTAGAATTAATACAGCTCATATTTTCATATAAAACATAAATACTGATTATAAACGTTTTCTGAGATTATGCTTACAGGTCTCAAATGCAGTTAAAAAAAAAGATTTACGATCTCGCAAATTCAATATTGATGTTTGTAATAACAACAGACACTAGTTTCATAATTACGTTATTTAAAAATATTGGCGTTTACACTACAATATTTAAAAGCAAAACCAAATCCTGAATATTCAACTAAGTACAATTTATTTTAAAAACTTCTCTTATTTACATTGAAAGTAAAAAAAAAATGTTTAAAAAAAAATTACACAGATCATACCGTAATATAATATATTATAACAGAAATAATGAATAAAAAAATTAAACAAAAATTGTATGTTCTTGTGTTCTTTAATGTTGTTAATTCATCCGTTTGTCTAAACCATAATTTTATAGCATCAAAAAATGTAAATGGTTCATTCGCAATTAAAATGCATTTTCCATTTTTAAAATAAAATGAACTTTTGCGTGATACATTTGTTGAATTTATCTGAGGAATTTTGCGGCTGACAATGTTACTGCTAGCGTATAATGTTCTATTACTTCCAGTCATTTGTGTAACATTGCTAACAGATGATGAATTTATATTTTCATCATCTTTTCGAAAAGCAGATAAACTCGAAACACCAGATTCATTTATTTCTTTACTAATTTCAGAAGATTTATTTATTTTTGAACCGACACCGATATCAGATAACTTTGGATTATCATAAAATTCAGTGATTTTTTGTTCAAATAAATCCATATTTATATTATTATCATCTTGATTATAATTTACTGATAATTTTTGATTTAAACGATCTAAGTTTTCAGATTCTACATTTTCAGTTAAATGATTTTTGATATCAGGATGTGCTTCAATAGAATCGTTGCTATTGTTGTTGTGTTTAGAATTATTTTTTAAATTCAATATAGGTTGCCTTAACCGTATTTCATTTAATGATTTTCTGCATTTGTTAAATATTTTTATTCTTTCAGATCTTGCTTTTGCTCTTATTTGTTCTCTAAGTGTACTGCTTGGCAATTTTGAACGTGCATAAACATTTCCACGATGATATATTGACACCCTTCGCTTCGATTTTATTGTTTTATTTAACATGTTCTTGTCTTCGTATTCTTCTTCATCATTTTCATCAATTTTATTTTTGCCAACTTTAGTTTCTAATAAGATATTACTTTTTCTATTTCTTATAGGATGCGTTTGCAAAAAAGGTGAATTTGAATCGGATGTTCCACTTTCAGAACTATAAATTTTTTTGCCCGAACGCCACTTTGAGAAATTCGATGACTTTGTTATGGCATCTCGAAACAAATCTGGTTTTTTCCCTTCATTTTTCTTTTCTTCGTGATCAATGTGGTTGGCATTAATATTTTTATCTTCTCCCGTGTTACAGCTGCCATTGAGCAGTTTAGTATTATTTTTACTTTCATTGATAATTTTATCAAGTTCTCGCCGATTGTCAAAATGAATTTTACTTTTTCGGGGGGTTGAAGAAAAATTTTTAGCCAATGAACGATGTTTTCTTGAAATTGATTGACGGTTTTGTGAAATTAAAAATGTAAAACTTTTCGAATTTTGTTGCTTTTTGTTTTATATTTTTTTATGAAAAAGTTTGTGGATTTAATGATTAAAATTATTTTGATGATTTATTGATGAGATTAATTTGCAAAATTTATATTGTATCGGATGAAATAACCAAAACAAAAAAAAATGAAAAGAAAAAAAGAGTGAGTAAATGTTTGTGTTTTATTAAAAAATAAATTATTAAATTGTATTTTTATCAAGTTTTACAGCTCTATATGTAATTTTGCCTTAAAATTAAATTATCTGTAAAATCTAATTAACTATGTTAATTGGGCAATGAATGTGTTTTGCAAATATTTAATTTTTATCATTACAATATTTAATCCTATTTAATAATAACTACTTTTATTTTATAAAACTATAGCACGTTGAATAAATACAATTTCTTACTATCTCTTTCAAACCCCATTTCCTTAGACTTTAATAACAAATTATAATTTATTCACAAACATCAAACAATCACCCTCATGAGAAAAATTAAAGAGCAATTCACATCTTTTTAAATTTAAAATGATTATTTATAAATAATTGTTGTAAATTTTGTTAAATTATATATGATGAAAAATTTTTTAATCCACAATATACATTTCTATACACATAATATCATTTGCTTAATAAATGTTTTTAATATTAGCAAAAAATTTTTTAATTTTATAATATCTAAACGAAGTAATTTTAAAAAATACTTATCATCGTATAACAGCACAAGTAATATAGACCTAATAAGGAGTTACTAAATATATTTATAAAATCATTCACAAAAACTCACCTCATCTTTAGCACTACTTCTAGACGAAAATAACTTGAATTTAGCTGGCGTTTTCTTCTGCTCATTTTCGTTGTATTCCTTAAGTATTGATGCATGTACTTCTGAATTACCGCCAAATGACAATCGTCCACCACTTTTACTTGGTGTTGGTGGCCCAGGTTTTTTATATGATGTTGTACCAGCTAATTTCTTACGATGTCCAGACATTAAAGAAGTTAAGCTATCATCCAGATTAATAGGCGGCAATCCATCCTAATTAAAAATTAAAATATTATGCAATATGAATAGAATACTAGCTCGCTTCAAAATCTTCGAAATTAAATATAATATACATACAAATTTCAATTTCAAAATTACCAATTTTTTTTCCATATGCTTATATTAAAGGAAATTAAATTGTTTTTCATATTAACTATTTGCTTTGTAGATTTTCGATATTTAAAAATAAAATTTTGTTACTAATCTGTTTGAACCGATAAAATTTAAATGTTTTTAATAAGTTTATAACAAGCTAAACAAAAAGTTACTAATGAATAGATGACTGAAAACATTTTTACAACAAATTTAAATTAACAGATAAACAAATAAGGACAATACAAATTATTCTACAAAATTAAATTTTCTTTTATAATAAATTGACTAATATAATAGAAAAATTCAAGAATTTTTTATTATAGTAATTTTTTATTTCCATTAATATTTTTAACATTCCTTGATTTTGTAAGTTTTGTAAAAATAGTATTGTTTTTAAAATTCAAAATAATATTGTAATCGAAAATTTTGTTACATATGTAATTGTAAAATACAGCTGATAGTAAAAAATTTAAAAAAAGTTTAAGACATCATATTTGTATTAAAATTCTGTTTTTCTTATCAAAAATTTTCTTAAATAATTTAAACTACAATTTCAGAATGAAATATTCTTAAATTTGTTTTCATGCATACTCGCTTGAATATATATAATTTATCTATATCAAAATAAAATTAATTTAAGCTTACTTTAACATCTTCCTCAGTTAATTGAGTATCTCCATACTGTGCTAAATAAGCACTTCTTAAATGTGGTGGAGCTAAAGAATTACGAAATTGTAACTCTTGCGTACTGAAAATAAAAATATTATGTAATTGTGAAATTTTTTAGCAATTAGATTCCAATAAATATTTTATATTTATATATATTTTGTAAATTCAAATATAGCTCCGGATGTACATTGAGCATATTGAAAACAATTTCAATAACAAAAGTCTAGTTTTACCTTATAGAATCTCGTCCTCCAAAGTCAATATCAGCTAAATATGTATTATTGAGAATTTCACCTTCTTCATCTTCAATTCGAAAATTTCCATCGAAAAGATTTTTAAGAGGTGGTGCTGTCAACGTTGAGCTGTGTGGTCTGTATGGTCTCAATAAATTTCTATTATTCGATTCATAATTTTTTAATTTAGATTCCATAAATTGATTATCTCTTTCAAGTTCACACACTCTTTCAGTTAATGTCATAACATTTTTCGATAATGATTTTATATGTTGATCATATTTTTGACACTAAAAGCAAAAATTTGATTAAGTTACGTTGTATAGCCGAAAAATAATACTACTATAGTAAAAGCAAAAGCATGAAAAAAGCAAGAAAATGAAAATATTTTTTATTGGTATTTAAGTTTGGTCACATTTTTTTGGGAAGATCATTAAATATTTAAAACTTTTAAAATTTGCTGTCAAATACTTAAAATATTTTTTGATATTTTATTGGCGATAAAGTTAACCCTGAAAATTTTATTTTAAAAACATAGAACTATCAAAATGGTAATTAAGACATATTAGCCAAATAAATTAAATCACTAAATCACTAAGTTAATGATTTAAATACAATAATTTTTGTTTTTTTAATGTCATTATTTTATACCTTTCATTATAATTAATATTACTATACCTTTCCTTGCAGCACTTGATTTTCAGCTTTACAATCAAAAATTTCAGCTTCATTTTTCTTCTTCAATTTTGTTACTTCTTCGTTATATAAACTTTTCTTCAATTTTTGAATAATTTTTTGTTAATCCGCAAAAATTTTAATGATAAATCATAGATTGATGGTTTACCGCGAATAGTAATGATATATAAAATGAGTTTTATAGATTAATAATGAAAGAAAATTAGAAAATTAGTTAAAAAATTTATGTGAAAACAAAAAGTTCTAATACTACAACAGAAAACAGAAAAAAAATGTTCAAACATTTTCCTAATAGACATATGTATAATAAAATTATTTACAATATTTACAATTCTTCTAAAATTCATATCTTAATATTATTCGTAATTCAAATCTTAATATTTCAATAATATTAATGGAATTTGATAAAGTCATTAACTCAAATCATAAATAACACATGAACACTGTGTCATAATCTCTTGTCAAAGATTGCATTTCAAATTTGTGTTGCAAGTTATCTTTTTAAAATATTGCAAAATTAATTTAAAATTATTAATTCTTGTTCATGGATTTATTTGTTCATAAATCTTTGGGCACTATGAAACCTTTTGAAAATATCATGTTAAAAAAACATAAATTAAAATAAATGATATTTTTCAATGTTTGATAAGTATGCAAATTCGAACTCATATAAATAAAATTAATATGATTAATTTTTTATTAATATTTATTTACAAAATAAATTCAATTTTAAATTATTAACAATTTTGTCAATTATAAATTATATGTATTTGAAATTACTATCATTTTAATTTTGAATTAGAAATTCATTTCAATTATTTTACATACATTCATTTAATATAAGTTTCTTACTATTTACAACATTTTAACAATTGCATTATTAAAATATTGTTGGTGAGTTTTTTTCAATATGAACTCTTAAGTCGTGTTTTCTCAACACATAACTAATTGTAATACCCAAAAATAAATAGGATAGAAATATTATTGTTGAATATTTGAAAAAGCTTTGTCGGAATTTGTTAATTGTTGATTTTCTGTTTTTAGTATTGTTCGTTTCATTGATATCCAGTTGTGCTTCGAATATTTCAGTGGTTGATTTTGCTAAATTGTATTGTTTTTTAGACTTATTCCCCTTTATTTTATAAAATAAGTTAAATTATAAATTAACTTTTATAAAGAAGATTATGTATTGGAAAATTCAAAAGGGCAAAAAAAAATTATATAATATGAGTAATTCAAAGTACACAAATATCAAACTCTTTTTAAAATTTTCACAGAAGTTAAGCTATTAAAATTTTTAGTAAATTCACTTTATCAGTATTACAAAAAAAAATTAAAACTTTTAACCTTTCGAGTAATTAATTAAAAAAAATAATAATAATAATATTAATATTTAGACTTTTGAAAACTGTTAGAGTAAAGAAAGATTTTTTAAACCTTTTTCTAGATCAGTTTATGCAAATATATTTAGAAATGTGCATAGTTCATACTTTTAAAATTATTTCTTTAACTTACCATTCTGTTTTTCATCTTTTCTAATTTTCCTTCCAATTCGATTCGATTCTCTTTAATCTTTTCTTCAGATTGCTTTTCCAAATGTCTCTTCTCTTCTAACCATTTCTTTTCATTTTCATCATTCAATTGTCGGCTTTTTAATAATTTTGCATGAAATATTTCTAAATCTTTTCTTAGTTTTTTCGTCTCAGCTTGTTCATTTTTTAATGTAAGCTCTAAAAGTTCGTATTTTTTATTGATATTTTCAGTTTCCCCATATTTATTTAATTTCAGAATTTCTATTTTTTCTTCATATTGTTTTAGTTTATACTTATTCTGCTCAAGTAACTCTTCCGTTTCATTTAATTTTTCTTTTAATCTTATTTCCTCTTTTTCGTGAATAGCAATCAATTCGTCTTTCTGTTTTTGTAATTCTTCAATTTGAGATGTATAATCTTTCTCTAGTTTTTTTTAAACATGAAAAAGAAAGAAAGTAAAATAAATCAGAATAAGTTTTAACATGCTTTTAAATAGAACATGTTTGTTAAATGAAATTGTAATTAAATAAGATTTATCATTGATAAAACAAGGAAAATAGGAAATAAACCATAATCCTGCCAACTCAAGTTGAACAAGGAAAATACTTCTTTAATCTTTTCAGTTTTTGTAATAATTCTACAAAAATTCTTTCAAAAATTTAAACATGAACAATTAATGTTAAAAATTTAGAGTTGATAGAGCTTACCTATATTTTTGGTTTCATTTTGAAAATAAGTCAATTCATCCTTGCATTTATGTAGCTCAGATTTTGTGTCCTCCAATGATGTGTTGGTAATATCAACTTGAATTGATATTTTTGATAACTTATCATTTAAAGTGCCGTTTTCTTCATAAGCAATTTCTAGTTTCTTCTGTAAATCAATTATTATTTCATTGGTTAAATCATTATTGAAATTCTTAATTTGCTCGTTTAAACCAATTATGTTGGTTTCTAATTCAATATTGCGTTTTTCCAAAATCTCTTTATCAGATTTTATTTTCTCATAAGCGTCTTTCAATTCTGACAAAGCGGATGTAGTATCGTTCAAACTAATACTTTTTGCATTCTCCGTTGCTTGTAAATTTGAAAATAACTTTTTCAAATCAGTTTCGGAATCTGTCTTCGCTTTCAAATTAGTTGTCAAAATTTCCTTTTCTTTGGCTAAAAGTTCATTTTCAGCTTTGAGCGTGTCTATATTTTTTTCTTGATCTAAAAGTTTTATTTGTAAAGATTTACAATCAGATTGCAGTTTCAGATAATCTTTTTGCAAGTTCTCTAAGTGCAATTTAATATCATCTTTATTTTTTTTCAATTGTTCAACTTCTTTCATTAATTTTGAAGTTCTTCCTTGTTCTTCTCCCAAACGGAAACTTTTTATTTCCAGATTTTTATTAATTTTTTCTAAATTTTCTTCATTTTTTTGTTGACTTTCAATTAATATTTGTTTTTCAGTAAGAATTGACTGCAGCTCCGCTGTTACTTTATTATATTTTTCGTTCATTTCATTTAATTCCTCTGTCAAATTCGACACATTGTTATTTAACTTATTTAGTAACTCCAATTTATCATTGAGTGCTATATTTTCTTTTTCTAAAAGGCAACAATGTTCTTTTAATTTTACAAGTTTTGCATTTAATTCTTCATTTTCTTTTGTTGATTTATCAATTAAGCTTTCTTTGGAATCAATTTCTCGTCTTAATTTTGAGTTCTCCAAATTTAAAGCACTACATTCTTCCGAGAGTTTATTTATCTCAATACTATTTTCTTCAAATTTTTTCATATAATTGTCGCAATTTAATTTCAATGTATTTAGTTCGTTTTGATATTTTTCATTCAATTCGCGGATGTATTCTTTGTTTTCACTAATTAACTGTTCCAAGGTTTCTTTCCCCAGTTCGTTTTTATTTTCTAATATTGCATTTGTTTCTTCTATAGCTTTTAACTTCGCTTTGAAATCCAAAATTTCTTCCGCATGCTCCGAACATATGGATTTTATCTGCTGTGTTAGTTCTTGAACCTGAAGAGACAATTTAAGGTTTGTGTTTTCTTTTGTTTCTAATTCAACATTTTGTTCGCATTTATTTTCTAATAATTCTCTTATTTCGTTTTGCAATTCTTCGATTTTAATCTTCAAAGATTCTCTTAATTCTTCCACTTCCAAAGCTTTTATTTTTAATTTTTGAACTAAGTCATCTCGCTCACACTTCAATTCCCAGTTTTCTGTCGTTATTTTAAAACACTCATTTTTAATTTCTTCTAATTCTTTGGCCTTTCCATCAAAGTGGTGTTGTAATGTTTCATATACTTCCTTACTTCTATCCAACTCTAACTTCATTGATTTATATTTTTCATCTAATATCAAATTATGATCAAAAATACTTTTTTTTTCTTTATTTGCTAAATCAATCTGATTCTGTAAATTATGAATTTTTTGTTGGAATTCTATATTTTCTGTGATCTTTTCAAGCAGCTCTTTCGATTTAAGTTCTTTTTCTGCAGTTATATTTTTGATGTTATGCAACAAATTTTCAGCATCAATTTGAAATTTTTCGATCTCATTGTTAAGAATGTTTGACTCTCTCTTAATTTGATTTATTTTTTCGCTTTTCTCGTCAAGTTCTTTTAACATTAATTCATTTTCTTCCTTGTAACTGGCACATTTTTTTACTAAGTCTGCATTTTCTCTAGCCATCGAATCGTTTTCACTTTTTAAATTGAAAATTTCAGTTTGAACTGTACACATTGACTGTTTCAAATCCAAAATTTCATTTAAAAACTGTTGCTTTTCGTTATTTTTTATAGAAACTTGATTGATTAAACTATTAATTTGCTGTAGTTGCTGGTTTTTAATGTCATCATATTCACGTGTTTTTTTTAAGTGATAGTTTTTCGAAACAAAATCCTTTTCGAATTCCACTCTTCCTTTTTTCAATTTTTCGATAATAATTGAAATTTGTTTTGAAAATTCTATGCTTCTTGAGCTTACTAACTGATTTGTTTCCGCAACTTGATTTTCTAATTCAATTTTTAATTTCTCGTATTGCTTTAAACGATCCTCCATGTTTTCAAAATTTTTTATCGAATTTTTTATATCTATATTCAACGTTTGTATTTCTTGTTCTAAACTTTCCTTTTTGTATAATAAACATTTATTGTTATTTAACAGCGTATTTATTGCTTTACGAAGCCTAACTAAGGCCAGATCAGAACTTAATCCAGACTCTAAAAAACTAACTATAATCTCAGGCTCAAGGAAATTTTCGACATTATTTTCAATATATTGAACTATTTCCCCTAATTCGTTCTCAAATTTTGTGTTAAGTTCTACTAATTCAAAATCCTTGGCGTCTAGTTTCAATTTGAGATCTTCAACTTCGTCTTCAGCATTCAATTTACAAATTGTTAGGGACTCAATTGTATTCGAAAATTCTAAATTTTCTTTTTCAGTTACTAGTAAACTTTTTTTCAATTTTTCTATTTCAAATTCATTGTTGCTAATTTTAGATTTTTGTTCATTTATTTGATTTAATAAATCCTTAATTTTAAAATTTTTTTTGTCACATTCTAGTTTAATTTCATCATGTTTAGATTGCAAAGAGGAAAGCTCATCAACTTTTTGCTTCAAAAGGGAATCTAGATCTTCTTTTCTAGATAAATGTTTTTGAATTTCTAAGCTTTGAATTTCACATCTTTCTTTAAAACTTTCATTTTCAATTTTTAAATCATCAATTTTTTTGAGATTTTCTTTCAAGCTTTGAGTTAATTCTATATTCCTGGAATTTAAAGAACGTTCCTTTTCTTCAATGGAATCTATTTTCTTTTGTAAAGTTTGATTTTTTATTACGAGTTCGTTTCTTTTTATTTCGATATTTTCTAGAGTCTCTTGATTTGTTGTAATTTTATTTTTCAGCACAATGATTTGGCTTTTTAGCATTGCAATATTATTTATACTTTCATCATATTTACCAGCAAGTTGCTCATTTTTCGTTGTCAAAGACGTAATTTGATTTTGAGTTTCCTGTAATTGTTTAGTTAATTTTTTTGCATTTTCAATCAAATTATCGTTATCTTTTTCAAACGCTTCCCTCATTTTGGTTGTTTCCAAACAATTTAACTCTAATTTTTCTAATTCATTTCTTAAGTTTGAAACAGTAGTTTCTAAATTTTTGGTGGTTAGAAGCAGATTATTATTGTGCTCTTTCAAAGATTTTATTTCAATATTTTTCTCGTTTACGGTTTCCAAAAGCTTTTCAACCTCTTTGGAACTTTCTGAAGTTATTTGTACAATTTTGTCATTTAAAATTTCGATTTGCAAGAAAAGGTCTTCTTTGCATTTGAAGAGCTTCAAATATTCATTATTTAAGTTTTCATACTCTGTTTGTTTATTCCTTGAATCATTCAAATTTTCTTGGAATTTTTTATGGTACTCATCAATTTGATTTCTTAGATTAAGAGACTCTGCAATTAATTTTTCATTTTCACATACTACACTTTCAAATTTTCCAGTCATTTTGTCCAATCTTCTTTCTTGATTTTGAAATTTTTCTTTTAAATTTTGTTTTTCCGAAATTAAATTTTTTTTTTCTGATTTCATATTTATGCACATCTTTATGAACTTTTCTATGCTGTTTTGATGAAAAGGCGCATCGAATTTTAACAGTTCGGTTTGCTCTGCTAACCCTATATTTGTTTTCAAAATTTCAATAATTTTTATCCATTTGTTTGTAAGGGTCTTACTTATTTCATTCACTGTTTCTGAATATTGATTTTCTGACTCAAAAATTTCTAGATATACTTTTGGAAGATTGAAGTAATTTTCACTTATGATTCGAATGATAATATTTCTATCTGACAATTCTTTTTTAATTTTCTTGATATAATTTTCCAACTTTGTTTTATAATTCATACTAGTTTGATTTATGACATTTTGGTCTATTAAACTTTCAGATGTTAATAGTTCTGAGATGCTTATTACTACTTTATCCAGTTCGACCATTTCTTCATTCAAATTTTTTAGCTGCAGCTCAAGTGCTGATTTTTCATCACAAAATTGTTTAGCTTTAAGATTTGTTTGTTTGTAATTTTCAACAAGTTTCTTGAAGTAGTTTTCGAATATCATAAAATTATGATTGATATTCCCACTACTTTCATCGGTTATCAAATTTTCTTGACAAATATCGAAAATATCGTAGTTTACTTTTATTAGTCCTGAAATGTGCCTCGATAAACTAGAATTGTCATTTTGCAATTTTTCGATTTCACTTTGTAAAAGCATATTTTCATTTTCCTTTTCGCGCAATTGAATATCAACTACAGTACGCCCTAAATTTTCACCACAACCCAAGCTATTGGATGAGTTTGAGTTATGTGAAGACGATAAATCAAGATAATCAAGAGAACTGCTTTGATCAAGAACGCATCTATTTTGTGACTGCAATTCATTTACAATATCTTCTAATTCATTTTTTGCATCACTTAATATTCTTAGTGTCTCATCCTTTTTCTAAATCAAATTTTAATAATTATGTTAATTGCTAGTATGATAAATTTTATCGAAATTTTATTAATTATTTCAAATAAATCAGGTATATACCAACCTCTATGTCCTCCAAAAGTTTTGTACGCTCGAATTCCATTTCAGAAATTTTCGAAAAATAAATACTCATTTCGTTTTGTGCATACTTAAGCTTCAAATAAAATTAAGTTTTCAATAAAAGAAAAAAAAAAGAGGTAAAAACCCTCACCTTTTCTTTTATTAGATCTTTTTCTTCACTCAAAGAATCCAAATTTTGTTTTAAATCAAATATTAGTTCTTCTTTATCGTAAAGTAGTTTTTGTAATCGGTTTTTTTCCTAAAAAATTTTCAAAAATATTTATCGGAAAGGCAAAATAAAAAAAGTTATAAGAATTTATTTGTTTTCATGTTTTAAAATCCGAAAAAACACTTAAATAAAAAAAGTCACCTGAATATTTACGCTATTTTTGCATGATGAACTATTACTTGAATTATCGTCAGAACTAAACCGTCCTCTCAAATCTTGTAATTCACTTAAATAATGTTTGCGTTCATTTTCTAAAAAAAAAGTTAAATTAAAAATGTGAATGAGAGACATGGACGTTTCGACTATTCACCTAATTTTTTAATTTTTTCTTCATATTGCTTGTTTTGAATCTCTAAGTAACCTCTCTCATATTTTTCCGTTTCTAAAGAAGCCTAAAAAATAAAAAAACAAATATTGAATCTGTTTTTTTTTTAAATATTTTTTGCGCATTCAAAAATTTTCTCACTTTTAATATATGAAGTTCCTTATTTTTTTCTTCTAGCATGTGAGTTTTAGGAGTTGGAGGTGAAATTTTGTAATTTTGCTGAGATTTGGCTGGGCTCTCCACAGGTATACTACATATATTTTGCAGCGAAGCTTCTGCTATTAGTTTCCTTAATAAAACTTTGTCAATTACATCTTTTTCGAGCAAGCCTTTAAAAAATATTGCGATAGCTTGTTGATGTGCTTCATGAAAATTTTGACAAATATTTTGAAAAAATTCAGTAGGGTATTTAACACAACAAAAATGTAAAAATACAGAATAAATATACATATAATCAGATGAACTTAATTGTTGATTATCATCCGTATGAAGCTCGATCGCTGGATAATGTTCTAAAACATACAAAAATATAAGTAGGTAGATACCTAGTTCTATAATTTGCAATTTAATGTATTTTAAAGTTAAAAGAAAAAATAAGACCCTAAACTTTTAAAAAGCTGTTTCTAAATGTTAACTACCTTTCAAAAATGCTGATAGATCAACTTGATTTGTAGACCAATTTGAAATTTGTTCCCGAAATTTTCCAAAAAATTCGTATATATTTGTCTGTTCAATGTTGTAATAGTTTCGACCAAGGAATCCGCAATGATTTATCTACATCAAACATACATAGATACATTAAAAAATTTTCACTATTCCAATTTTAAACCGAATGAACTTCACTTACCCATGTAAGTAACACACGCTTCCAGCTTGAACCATCTTTCTTATTAATTTTAAATAGGCATTTAACCTGAGTAGACATTTTTAAAATATATGTGTTATTTTTTAATATATATTTTTTTATTCATATAGAAAAATAATCTGAGTCTGCAAATTTTTAATACAAAAAACCCGCTTCAATTAACAACTAGTTTTATATTTCCAAACAAATTTAATTTTCAGTTTAATTACAAAATTTTTAAACTGACAACTGACAAACGGTTGGTTGCGCTATCTAGCGTAAATTATGTAAAGCAGATAGTTACAAATGGTAGCACTGAAATTGTAGCTGTCAGCAGTGCCAGCTGCCAATAAAATTATTTAAATTTATTTTGCTTGGTGTTTCCATCGCTCGAGAATTTAAAAATTTTATGTCTGGCAAATTTATTTTTCGACAAGAAATGGTTAAATTTACAATTTAACGCATAACTCAAAAAAACCTGGTATTGAATATTTTTATAAGGTTTTCTCAAAAACATTTGAATTTTGAAAATTGTATGTAGTGCACTCACCGTTGTTTTACAATTGTTTTTTTTATAAAACAATATTAAAGAACTTCTTTAAAAACGAAAATTTTTTTCGTGCAACTTAAAACCGCATATAAACGCAGTAAATATAAATAAATAAAACCGTACCTGGTTTGGAGTGAACGCGAACATTTGTATATTTTCCGCTAATGTCAAACCAAATTCATTTTCAACTACATAGTATTATTTCAAGCTTTACAGTACATGCGCTGTTTAAAATATAAAATCACGTACTCTATCTGGCGTATAAACGATGCATATATTTATAAAGTTCAGAGCGTTTTTATCTTCATACCGGGCCACATTTAAATTTGTCAAAAATAAATTCGTGTAAGCTTTTTACTTGAGAACGTTCTAAGCTAAAAATTCGTGTTCTTTTTTGCAATCAGAAAAAGCTTAAATCGAAAAACTCGAAAAAAAATTTCAGATTTTACTGAGCTCCTATACTATTTAACAATTGAGAATGAGCAATTAACAATGAAAAATTTGTTCATTTTTAAAGTTAGGGTTTTCATTTCACAAAATTCTAGCCTTTGATTAGAGCCTATTCTGACAACTCTGAATCGAGTTCTCTCTTACCCAGCATTTACACGTACAAGTTACTTGCAAGAAAGTTGCAATACATACAAAAATTTTACTAACACATTGAAATATTTCTACTTGCTTCTTTACTTGCAGTTCAACTTGCAAGAAAATTTTGCTGCCAGTAATTTGAGCAAGTAATTTGACATATTGAGAAATTCACAAAAAAAAATTTGTTGTTTTGATTTTTTTTTTTTTTAATTTAAAATTTTTGAATTTTGTTTTGAAAAAATTAAACTTAGCAAACTTATGGTTTCTAAAATTTAAAAACAATTATATATATTGCTAGTTGTTTTCTTCTCAAAGACATTTTCAAAAATTAACTTGCTAAACGCCTACGTCATAATAGCAAGTAATTTGACATTTCGAAAAACTAATTGACAATTAATATTATACAAACTTGCATGCAAGTAACTTGTATGTGTAAATGCTGGGTAAATGTTGGGTTAAAAGAACGAAAAGGAAAATGGCTTAAAATGTACCCCCACTCAACCCTATCAGTTTGAATGGAAATTGAAATATTTCATGACATTTAAGAGTTATTTCAAAGTGTCAAATTGACTTTTCCTTTCTTTTCCGGTAGCCGTAACAATAAAGTATACAAAGTACGTAAAAATTGAAAAAATCTTGAAATATTTGTATCATCTTAACTAAAAAAAATATTTTCAACTTTGCAAAATATTAAGCAAATCTTTTTGTTCCTATTACAAAGAATGATTTTGTTAAAAGATGATCCATTTACAAAAACAATGCAAAATTAAAGCAAAATATTAATAGGGTAAAATGTTTAAAATTTTTAGATGTTTATGCCGAAATCGCATCGTGCTGCTATATATGAATACCTTTTCAAAGAAGGAGTCATTGTTGCAAAAAAGGATTTCCATGCACCAAAACATCCAGATCTAGTAAATATTCCAAATCTACATGTTATTAAGACTCTGCAATCATTGCATTCTAGAGGTTTAGTCCAAGAACAATTCGCTTGGCGTCATTATTATTGGCATTTAACTAATGATGGCATTCAATATTTGAGAACGTATTTACATCTTCCACCAGAAATTGTACCAGCAACACTTAAAAGACCTCAAAGGTCCGAAACTTCTAGACCTAGACCAACAGCTGCCCCAAGATCAGATTCAACTAAAACAGGGGAAGATAGATCACAATATAGACGAGCTCCTGCTGGCGGAGATAAAAAAGGAGATGTGGGTGCTGGTACCGGTGACGTTGAATTCCGCGGGGGTTTCGGTAGAGGTGCCAGACCACAATAAGTTTTATATGTAAAAAAACTTCTAAAAATATATTTAAAGTGAAATTTAAAACTGCGATATTAGTTTCATTGTGATTAGATAAATTTAAATCATTCGAAAATTATGTTAAATTAAAATTTCAAATTTATTATTCAGTTATTTATGGTAAAGTGCCTACCCACTATTTTATTAACAATTTTCTTGTAGAACAACGCTGATTTTATTTTAAATTGACATTATGGGTTTTTTGATCTGCTTCGTTATCAGTGGATTATACTAATTTCATGCGACACAATTAGCAGATTATCTCAGATTTTTGTGCCCATAATATTCAACTATGTAATTGCCTTTCTTTTTAAAGTTCTAAATCTTACTTACAATTTTTACATATATACATGGGTATTTTGGTTTTAGAAAACAAGTAAAAAGCGGCTTTAATGACGTTTTGGGTAAAAAATTGCATTTTTAAAACTGCACTCAAGTGCACTTTTGCCAAAATTTTGGAAACAAAGGATAACATAGCAATAAGTACGTGGTTATATTAAATTAACAAGTCTAATTTTTTATTAAAAGATCAAATTTATTCATCTTCTCTAATGACAACTTTATTTTTAACAGGAACAAATGGAACCGTGCCTGGTTTAGAGTGAGCGCGAACATTTGCTTCTTTCCGTTTCTGCTTGTTTTTGATAGCTTGAAGGGTTTTTTGAGCGTTGTAAATATTTTTGGGTACATGTCTATGTCTTGCTATGCGCTTAATTTGTGGATGGGCTGCATATTTTTCTTTTATAGCGTTTTGATAATTAAAGTTGGCTACTTCTCTTGGTGCCTTGACTCCCAACTTTTCTGAAGCCCTTGCCTTCCATAAACGAATGTTCATTTCATCTGAGCCTGAATAAATGTATTTATTATCGAAGCTCCAACCAACGCAGACTACATGTTGCATTCTTTTTGTATAGTATACCTCTCGCGAATGAGATTTATGAACTTCATATATTCTAATAGTTCTGTCGTAACTTCCTGAGACAAACTCCCTACCTGTTGGTGAATAATCTATGTCAGTTACTGCGGAAACGTGATCATAATGAATTTTAATCGGATTTTTCAACTGTCTTGTATCAAATGTGTAGAGACTAAAAGAAAAAAGGAAATTTTACACATTTTCATTGCGAGATTGCTGAAGGTTATGTATACTTATAATCTTCATTTGCGACTGTAAAATTGAAGGCTTCCATTGGATTCCATGCTAATTTGTTTGACCTCATAGATAAAATTATTTTTCTTAATGGTTTTGATTGTCTTGTGTCATAAAAAATTATACTTCTATCACTAGCGCATGTTGCTAAAAGTGATTTTTCAACTTGGTTAAATGATATCGCATGTAATGTATCTACACCCCACTTCAATGTTTTTAAGGGATCATTTCTTGTTGCGTCCCAAATATAACAAACTTCGCCACAAGTGGCAAATAATTGATCTTCTCTATGATGCGAAATGCCTGTTATTATGGTTTTGCTTAAAATTGTATTTACTGGTTGCTCGTCCTCTCCAATATCAGGATTTTCAGAGTTCCAAAACTTTATTGTTTTATCATCTCCAACCGTTAAAAACTTCTCACCCGACGGTAGGTATGATATTCCTCTGATAAACCCTGCGTGAGCAACAAAGTTTCTTACACATTTCCTTGATGTTAAATCCCAAATTCGTAACTCTCCGTCATATCCACCGCTGTTTAAAATAGATAACCGTTTAGGATGCTTGCCGAAACAATAAATACCATCCCTGTGACCATCTAAATTTCCAACAAATGGTTTCGCAAACACTTTATCTAGCTTAGTAGCATTTAATGCTCTTACATATTCTCTTGCAGATTCGAGTGGATGAAGTGCTGGATCATAATTTCTCTTGACTAAATTAAAAATTTTAATTTCAACTCACTAAACATTTATAACAAAAATTACTTTTGTGTAAATCCAGCTTTGTTTCGCGTACATAGTCGTCGGGATTTCGGCTAATTACTTTAACTTTCATTGTAAATCAAAATATTAAATATTTATTACATAGATATACCTGACACATGTAAACTTGCGAACCATTAATATTTAAGAAAGACTGTTATTGAATATAATATAAAGCACTAACAAAGAGTATTGACTATTGAGCCCAGCTGACAGATATATTTTTGTTATGGCAAGGTATTGAGTTAAATATCAAGAGTTGAATTCAGGGCTGCCGTTTCACTTATTAGAAGAGGAACAAACTGTTACCTAACAGGAAACACTCATGCAACAAAAATATCAAAAATTTCTTTTGTTAAAATGCATTTAGAATTTTTCATAAAGCTTAAATAACAGTGTTCAATGAAATATATGTTATTTACAGTTTATTGGGTAAAAATTATATTTGTACGAAAATTCTAATCTGTCCTCAACATTGATAAATTTTTAGTACAAAGAAATTATTATTTTCCAAAATAATTTTACACAAGCTCTTTACTATGTTTTTAATCGCCCCATTATCTCCAATAAACTCTTTTGTATTAAGCATTGTTCTTGCAATCATTTCAATAAGGAAATTTCCTAGTTAAAAGCTCATATTTAAATTGGACGTTTACTTAGACATTTATTTAAAATTGGAGACATTTATTTAAAATGAGTTGGGTTGCAACAGGAAGCAAAAAGAAATTACCATTTTCGAATTAAAAAGTATCGAAACAACAAGATTTTACGCAGACAAAACAAGAACCAAATCTGATGAACTACATAACCGACGTAAAGCGTATTTCGATTTGGTGAAAGTGTTCCACTAGATTAGGAAAATGTCCTTGAAAACGTTATTTCAAATTTTAAGAAAGTTAGTATGTAATTAGTTAAAATACCTATCAAAATGCTAATTAGTCTCATAGTTCAGGTCCACTTTATGCGATTGGATTTCTTTCAAAAGTTCGTTAGATTCATTAATAAGTTTAGCTAAAAGTTTCAGCATTTTAAAATTGAGACCGTTGGACCGAAATCTCATTAAAAAGGTTTATAACTGGTAATAAATACTATTTCTCAGCCGTAGAGGAATTTGTTTTGACAAAAGAAATTTACCATACATAATTTTCCAAGGTCGCTTATCACATAAACAATATTTATTGTTAATCACGTTCTTACCGTTTAAATTTTGAAATTATAGGAATTCAATGACATTTTTCCAACCATATAGATACTACAAAATGTGTTAAATATTTGCACTTACTCTTTATATAGGTATTTTGCATTTTCTTCTAAATTTTGACACATACATTTTTTTGCCGATAGGGCTATTGAAAAAATTGTTTTAAGGGTTTTTTAATTCAGGAATAATTGGGTTTCAGAAATAATATACAAACGCTAACCACGCTTTCGACAAATTGGTATTCATATCGTGTCGCCTGCGTTAATCTTATGTTTTTTTTGTGTCGAATATCCGAAGTCGATCTATACAACTTTAATGAAATTCTAATAGACTAGTTGGTTTAGTTTTTGTGTTGAAAAATTACTATAATTACTAAATTAGATCACTTAAAAATTATAAATCTGGATCCCAAAAATTGGAATGTTGGTGGGTCTCGCAACCCACCTTTTCTTATTGGGGAGAAGGGTTCGAAATATCCAAGCCCAAAAATGGTAAGACATTTTATCAATTTGAAATATTTTTAATATACCTCACAAATTTTAAGTCGCACATTAAAAACTTTTACCCTGAAAATTATCCAAAAATGGACTTATCTGAGACAATGAAGGCTGCATTAAAAGGCGGACCTATGCAAAATCAAGTTGGGAACAATCCTGCGGGTGCATCACTAAGTGGAGCAGATTTGCAACCACCAAATATCCCTCAACAACCAGGTTATGTCACGGAAAAACTTTATATGCTTTTGCAACTTTACTTGCAAAATAAAGGTTGGAACCCAAGTGTTGAACTTCTGCAATGCTTCTCCGAATTAAAAGATAGTGCAATGCTACCAAGTGCAGCCTATTTACAGTACTTATAGTTTATTTAATTTTTAATTATTTTTTTTAACAACATTATTTTAGGGTGTTAGCCAATCGTTTGACACTTGATTCACAAGGGCGTTTAATTTTAAGAGAAAATGGAAAAATTGTATTACCTTTTGAACATTTTGCCAATGCAGTTATGTTGAAACATATGTCTGGACCACATGGTTTGCATTTGAGTGTGGAAGCAACAGTTAGAGCTGTTGTTGAATCGTACACAATAGGTAGAGAAAATTTTGGTATGGAAAAGGATTTCATTGTAGAGGTAGTCCAGTCTTGTCCAAGTCCAGCTTGTCGGTATTACAAAAATCATTTGGGGATACCTCCAATGACCTTTTTAGAGCAATACCCAAATATATCTCCAGAATTTCTACAACATTTACCACCACCGCCGTCAGTTCTTACAGGACAACCTCCGCAATCGATTCCGCCAATGAACTCTGGATCTGGGACCGAAATTGACTTAAGTAAAGGTCATAGTAGCTCAAATTCGAAAGTTCCTCAAATGCATTTACCACCCCCGGCTCCTTTGCCACCAACAAAATCATCACAAAGCAGTCATTCAAATTCTGTACAACAACAACAGCATCACCAATCTCAACATCAACAACAAGCTGTAGCAGCGGCCGCTAAAGCAGCGGCTGCTGCTGCAGCGGTGGCACAACAACAGCATCAAATTACGGCCGCAATTATTCAACAGCAAAATCGTGCAATGGCTCAACAGAGTTTAGAAAAGTTTGGAACATTAACTGCTATGGAACAGCAACGAGTATTACAACAATTTGACAAAAAACATTTTGAGACACAAAACGCAGTTGCTGTTGCCGCAGCGGCAAATGCGGTTGGGTTGGGTGTTCAAAGTCTTATACCGAATTCGGCTCACCAACCAAATCCTATGCATAATATCGGAAATACAGTTGGAAACAACAATAACTCAATAAGTAATTCTATTATTCCCAGCAATCACCAAACACCCCCAAGCCCATCACCGCATTTACCGCCGTCGCAATCACAATCATCCACGCCATCGCCAATGCATATTTCCCAAGGAGGACAACAGCAACAACAACAACAACAGCAACAACATCAACAGCAGCAACAACAACATCAACAGCAGCAACAACAACAGCAGCAGCAACAGATACAACAGCAACAACAATATAATCAACAACCAGATGTGCAATTACAGAAAAATGATGTTATTGAATCAAATAAAGATCTTTTAGCATTACATAATGGAGCTTGGACTTGTCGTGACGATAATCGCGAAGTAAGTGTTGTTGGTCAAGAAAAAATTGTGCGAGCATTTTCGGAATTGATGAAAAACATGGCGCGAATGAAAACTTTTATTCGACCATCAATGTGTAAGCCATATGGAAAACAAAGTGAAAGCCTACAAAAAAGTAAGAATCAATTTTAATTATAAGACAAAAGTTCAAAACTGAAATAGGTTTAAATATGAAAAGTTTCTAAAATTTATTTGAGTAGATATACATATATTCCTCTTAAAGGAGACTTTTGAAGCTTTCCATATTCAAATATTTCAGTATTAATATCTATAAATAAAATGTTTATTTAAATAAATATTTTTTTTACATTTTCAACAAAGCTTTACTGGATACAATTCAACTGGTACAAACCTTAAGGAATTGTTTGCCTGCTCCACATATACCAGTTAGTTCTTGGAAGAGTGAAGATCGCCAAAGTAGACCTGAAGAAAATTCTGTTGCAAATAATTAATATGCCGACATTAAGGTATTCCGTGCGTAATAATATATGTGTGTTTTTCTTACATAATATATGTGTTCGTTTACACATCCATATATTCATATGCTATGAGATTGGATTTAAGTAAATCAGTATTTTTGAGTAATTTTTTCATACAAAATATTCTTTAAAGACTTCAGCATAATATTTATTTAAAAATTCATATATAATGTATAATTAGCAATTATATCTACATAACTACTAGAATAGGATTTTTTTTAGAATCCCAAGTAAGTTCCTCCTTAAATTGAAAAAGTTTTAAGATTTTATGAAATTATGCTAAATATATTTAGACATAAAGGAAAATATCTGATTTTCGGGTAATTTGAAGCATTTTTAATAAACGTTTTCAATATACGTTTTCGAAAATTTAGCAAGATTTCATATAAAAAATGCTTAATTAGTATAAAATTGTTTTAACAATAAAATTTAAGTCTTAAAATTAAAAAACTTTTTTTAAAATTCACATAATCTTCTTGTGGGCAAGAATAGAAAGAGTAGTTTTTTGTTTTTTTTTTAGAATTCTTTATATTTCAGTATTGCAAAATTTCTAGGAAACGCTGCTTTTTTAAAAGTTTTTGAAAAAACAATTAGAAAATTAAATGATTGGAAATATTTTTGCTTAAAAATTCTTAAATATGAAGTTTTTTAAGAATCCTTAAAGATCAAGAACAGAAGTCAAAAACATAAAATTATTTCTTCTATTGGGAAAAATATTTCATTTGCCAATATGTAATTCTTGCCAGTTTGTTGAAAATTTTAACTCAAAAAAATTATTGACTCTGAAATAATTGTATCGGTTATATCGATTTTCAATATTATCTTGTGAATTGGAAAATATATGGAATTATAAGATGATTAATTTAAAGCTACTTTTTCTTTAAATTTCCGGATCACATCAATTTGATATTATTTCAATAATAAAATATCCTTTTAGAAAAAATTACGTTATTGACAAAAGTGAATTTAAAACATATTTAAAGTAATTCTTCACTAGCTCTTTCATTGAAGCTTGTTTTCCATTTTGAACAATTTTTAATAGTTTCGCATTTGGAGATTAAATATGAATTAAAATGATATAATATTAATGAATATGTACTCAAAAAAATGCAATTTATTTTATAAATCCACATTGAATCATAACTGAAATTTTAAATAATATAGTGCTTATTTTATAAGTTGAAAATGAAGGTTGTTTTTTATACTATTATCAATATAGAAAAAAATCAAAAATTTTATCAAAATAATTTGGTAATAATTATTTATAATACTTCCAAAATGTGCAATTATGTACATAAATATGTACATGTATTTATATACATTTTTAATTTTTTATTTAGTTTTCAACTTATTAATTAATAATTTTAGGAATTTGTTAAGAAAATTTATTAAAACTTAAGGCAAAAAACACCTTTTAAAAATTAAAAAAATAGGTATCTTAATGATGCAAGAAAAAAGAAAACCATTTCTATATGAAAATAATGGTTTTTGCAATTTAGTTTGATCTTAGAAGCTATCTTATCAACTTTTCGATTGATTAATCGAAAAATATTATGAAGTTTAGAAACTGTTTCACATTCTTTTTACAAAAAATTCACTTTTTATAACTGGTTTTTTGTTGAATCTTTTTTAGTTTTTCTTGTTGCTTCAATAGATATAAAATAAAAAGGGCATGTCGTAAAATTAATATGAAGAACATTGAGTATATTTGATTATGTATATTTTTGCAATATATTTCAGGTATAAATGAAGCTTTTAGTATTCAAAGATATTATTTTTACTTGAATGTTCTATGAAAATGTGAATTTGAAATGAAATAATTTATTCTATTAAAACATATGGGATCATCAAAGAAATTTAAAACTTAAATCTTAAAACTAAAACTATAATTTGTTTAATTTGAAATTGGTTTATTGTACACTTCGCAGTGTGTATTTTGATATTTAAAAAAAGTATGTAAAATTTGAAATTACATGCAAATTAACAAAATTTTAAGAATAACATTTTAGGACATGAGAAAGTGTTTTTTTTTTTTTTTAAATTACTCATAACACATTCAAATATAATGTGAACAATTTTATATTTTTAAATTAATACCGTATGATTAAAAAATTATTTAAAAATAAAAATTCTAGCTATATTATAAAATTTATATACTATTTTAATCTTATATAATATTTATATGAATATAGTTTTAAATGTGCCATTTTTCATGATAATTTGCACTATTGTTTTAAAAATTATAGTTTTTTTCAAAATTTTAAATATTTACTCTTAAAAAGTAATAAATTCTTTTTCATTATCTGGAAATTGATGGAATTTATAAACTTAAAAAAGAAAAAAATGAGTTTCATAGAAAAAATAAATTGGCAATAAATCTGTGATAAATTTCGGAAGAGTATTTTTGAAATCTAAATCAAAAAAATTAAATAATTATAAATTAAAACAAAATTTTCTGTTCGACAAGAAAAGGGTAAATTTATCTAAGTATTTAAATTAAATTAAGTGTAAAGAAAGGAAAGTGTCGAAGAGAAATGGTAATAATGTTAAACCTGTATATTTATACCTTAATGTAATAATTTTTAATTTATTTGTATTAGAGTGGATTCGTGGTTTTTATTATTTCTCATGCAAAAATATCACAGTTCTTATAATTGTTATAATTTATATATTATAATAAGTCTTTCTTACGCAACAGTAAGGTAAATTTAGGGTAAAAATTGGATCTAAGGTAATTCTATTTTATTTAATTTACGTAAATTTATATTTTTTGTGAAAAAATTCTTTGTATTATAAAAAATTTTTAAATTTAAATGAAAAAAAATTTGTATTTTATATGCTTTTGGCTGTATTAAATGTAATAAAAAAAGGGCAACTTATACAGAATTTTTAAATGTTTTCTGTGCTTTTCTTAGCCTACATTGGAAAAACATTGATGCATAATTTAAATTATAATATAATTATTGAAGTATTAAAAAACAAGAAAGACCTAAATATAAGAAATCTTTTTTGTTTTATTAAATCGCATTTTAACTGTTTTAAACAAGCTTTAATTAAAAAACAATGCTTTTGTTTAGAATACAGCAAATTAATTATATTTATAGAAATTTGAAAATTATTTAAATTGCATTTTAAAGTATTACTTTAAAATAAAATTTGTGTATATTAAGAAAACATTTCGAAATTAAAAAATAAGATTAAATTTAGGTATTTTGCAAGCGCACAGATTTGATTAATCGATGCTGGTTTGTTCTAAGACTTTTTTTTTATAAACTTAGACTATTTATTTTCTTTATAGTTTTTGGCAATCATATTATATACTCTTAATTATATGACAATAAAACATTTAAATTTGATTCCTATTTTTCATTTAAATCTTAAGCATAATTTTATATTAAGCTATAAAATTAAGTTATAAACAAATACTGAATCAAATTATATTGATTTAATAAAGTAAATGTGTATGCTAAATGACGATTTGTAGAATAATGATATTGTCATTCTATAATTATTATTTTATTGTTTGTAAGGTGTTAACCTATTTCTATATCCTGTTTTTATAAGATAAGAGTAAATTCTTTTGAAAAATCAAGAATAATCTTTATTCGTGGGAAAAATTATGTTTTAAAATAATATTTAAAATTTTAATATAAACAAATTGCACAATGACTCATTTATTCACCACAATTCTATTACGACCTTTAATAAATTATATACTATGTCTAAAGCAAAAACACAATATGCATACTGAAAAATAAATGTTAAAATATTTTTTGTCCTTAAATTTTCTAGTGTCCTTATTTTGATAATACATAATATAATTTAGGTAATGTTTTTAAACATTTTTTTATTATTGTGACTGCATTTAGTAAACTCATCTAATTGTTTTTAAATTAGTTATAAATTATTTTAGTAAACTTTTTAATACTCCCAAAATCATAAATAAAATATAAGGAAAAACTATTAAATATTGTATTTGTAAACCCACCAAAATTAAAAAAAAAAGTGAAAGAATCAATATCAAATAATTCATATGACATAAATAACATAAAGAGTATTATTGAAAATTAATTTAATTTATATTTTAAAATATTGATAATTAGAAATTTATTAAAAAAATGTAACAACCGCCTTTATAATTTTGTAAACTTTTATTTTTTGAAGAATTTAAAATTTTGTTCATCTCAATAAGAGAATCAAATCGTGATGATATGTAGAAAATCCAAACTATTTACAATTATTTTTTATTGTAAAAAACATCTTTTTTGTTTCTTATTCTATACATATGGTACGTTGAAAGAGTGTATCAAACATGGTTGTTAATTTTTTTTTATGATATAGTTTTTCTATTTTCAGTTGTTATTGTTAGTTTTAACAAAAAGTTTCATCGCTTTAAAAAGAATAAAGAAAACTATTAAAACATAAAATAATAATTTAATTGGACAAAATTTTATCAATTGTATTTAAATATAATTAAAAAAAGAAGTAATAATATGTGTACTTATATATATATTTATATACATACATATAAAATTATTAAAATGAAATATATTGTATTATTATCTCAGTTTAGAGTTAAAGCTTAAAAATGCACATTTTCAAGATATGCTATGCGAATAAATAATATAAAATTGATTATATAAATTAAATAAATGTAGATTTTCAATAAAATTAAATTAAAATATGTGAAAATCATTCACGGCAATTTTAGTAATAAAAATATACAATTGTAGACTTAAGACTGTTCTAGATTGAAAAAAAAGAAAGGAAATTTCTAAATTTAAGAAAAAGAGAGGAAAATCTGTTTTTCGTCGTTTAGTGTTTAGGCTGATTGTTGCACAGTGTATTCAACATTTTCTGATAATTTTCTTTTTTATTTTATATTTCAATTTTGAAGTTTTTCGGAAACTTTGAATACTTTCTTTGTTGAAATCTGAACGAAATAATCAACAGGTAATTTGATAACTTGAGATTATATAAATATAAACTTAAAGAAAATTTAGGAAATTGGTAATTTTCAAAGCAATTGCACTCTATTTTGAAAAATTTATTCAAAATATAATGTAATATAAAACGGAGAAAAGATTGTCATTCCATATTTATTTTTCAATTTTTATTTTATTCTTTCCCATTTTACAATTTCAACAGTCAAAATGTTTAGTTTTTTTAAAGTATATATATTTAATATTACTTAACAGGAATATACTCGTATGTATATGCCTGTTAAGTAATATTAAATATATATCATATTCTAAGTTTTCGAGCATTTAAAAAGATTCTTGACCTTAGTAGTAAGAATTGAATTTTGTGTTTACTTTTTTTTTTGTAAACTATATGAGTGCAACTTGAAAAATAATTAATTGTGATAATTTTCTTATCCATTCAAATTACATATTATAATTTCATTTTCAAAATATTCCGAGCTTGTTTCGGAATCTATTTGTTTTTTTTTTTTTAATTTAATGAATAAAATGTAATATTATTAGGCTAATTAAAAAAATCAATAATCAAAATTTAAAACATATCTTAAATGTTGGAACATTAGCAACACTATTTAATCAATAAGTTAAATTTTAAATAATAAAATTATAAAACAATTACGTATAATAAAAAATCTGCAGTATTATATTGTATAATAAGATCATCATTATTTGAAATGAATACATGATGTGAAAAAGAAACAAAATATTGATTACTCAAAACTTACATACAAATTTAATTATTTAAAATTAAATTCGAATTTTTTATTTTGAATTTATTTAATAAAAAAAAGCAAATATTAGCAGAAAAAAATTAAAACGCATAAATGTGGTAACTGCTGTTGCAGCAACTAATTTTTAAAAATTATTTTTATCGATTATTATTTCAAATTTTTTTTTATTTTAGAAATATAATTAATAATAACATTAAAAATAAAGAAAACATAAATACTCTGTTCCTTTTATTTAAAAGTAAATATATAATTAAGGTTTAAACAAAATTAAGTAGTGTATTTAAACATGAAAGTTTTTCAACGCTATAGTTATAAATTGAAAATTGAAAGAGGAATAAAAAATTATTAATTATTAATTATTATATAAACAATTTTTAAATGTAATTGCTTCAATAAATATCATAAAATAAAATATCTTAATACAGTAAAAATGTTTAGTTTTACTTTACTACTCAATTTTCTTTATTTCATTTTTCACATTAGTAAATATTTTTAAGATTCAATAAAAGAATGCAGATATATGCCAATAAAAAAATGTTATGGAGGAAGAATATTTCAATTAAATTTTGCAATTGACAACTTACGTTGAACTTTAGATTAATCCTCTATTCTAGATTAAGTATAGTTACAGATATAGGCAAGAGTTTTTACACAATATCCAAGCCTTCATATATTGGCATAGAGTGATTTTTATTTTTAAATACTTATTATACAAATACTTATAAGTACTTATACTTAAATACTTTTACGGTGGGATTAAAACATTTGGTTTTTTGTATGTCGTTATTGTATTTGAAAGAATATTATTTTCATTCAGTTACCATTAAAATGAATTTTTTGGTGACTTTTATACGGTATGCTTTTTTAGTAGAAACTGAACAACTTATTTCAAAAAAGTTCTTTTAAATTTGCAAATATTGTGTGTACTGTTTTAAACACCGATTATTTACGATTTTAGATTATTAGCTGAATTGTTTAATTAGTGTTAATATAATAATCTAAGTAATCGAATAGATACTTAGATTATTATTAGATAAGTACCACTTATATGCATGTCGATTTATTCAAATTGAAATAGGAAAAGAAGTATAATTTGTCGTTCTTTTTAAAATAAATTTTAGTTTAGTTAAGTTTGAGCTTCGGTATTCTTTTATACGCTTTTTTTATTAAACAGAAATGAGGAAAATACATAAAATATTTAAGTTAATAATTTTTATTTTCGGCTTTTCGCTTTTAAAGCTTTCGAGTGCAGATAAGGAAATTACTTTCAAAGACCTTATAAGTTTTGAATTTTATCAAAATGTTAATTTTGAGCCAAATGAAATTTGTTCACAACATTTAAATGCTGTTAAAGAAGGATTAAATAAAAGGGAAGAGTGGGCTTTACAACGTAAGATTGAAAAAATTCTTATTTACATTTCAACGGAAGTATTTATATGAATTTATTTTGTGAATTTATTTGAGATTTTTTGTTATGTAGTTACAAATATTTTAATAACATACGCGTATTATATGAGATTTTTTGTAAAGTAAATGTTGGAATTTCAATTTTATGTTCGAAGTGGTTTCATTTGCATATCACATACAAAAAACCATGTGTATTCTTTGTAAATATTATGAAATATTATTATAAAAATTTTTTTTTATTTTACAATTTTTGTTAATAAGTTTTCATTTTGGTGATATTTTAATTTTTGCAGTAATTGATTCATGGGGTAAAATACCTTCCGGTATTATGAAGGGTAATTTTATAAATTTTGGAAATTTCGATCAATGTTTGCAGGTTATTAGCGATGAAAAAATTGAAAATGATTATTTAAAAGGCAAATATTGCACTGCAGTTTTACCATTAAAAAATTTTATTCCTGTATCACAATCTCTTAATGAAATAAATTTATTAAGAGAAGTACCAGTTATGGTCTTAGGTATAAATAACAAATTAAAACAAAATGAATCAGCTTCTAAAAATATTTCCGAAATTGTTAATAACATAAAATTACAAATTGGAGTGTGTCTTCCAAAAGTATGTGAACCTGAATTTGTGGATGGAGTGATGAAAAAATTTTTGAAAGATACACTCGGTATCGATTTGAATGAAACTGAGGTAGTTCTTGACTCTGCGAATTGTGGAAAGCATCCTGATGATATTCAATATGAACAAATTGATTACATTGCCATGTAAGGACATAGTCCAAAATTATTTATTATGTACATAGAATATTTTTTTATGCATTGATATAACGAATATAAAATTGTTCTTGCTTCAGAACATTTTTCTCACTTATCGCTGCTATGATGATATTTAGCTCAATTTATGATCTAGTAATGCAACATTTAAATAGTAAGTATATTTTTTGATTTTTGTATTAAAAATTCACAAAATAAATACATATGTATATATTTTTCACATAGAGAAGGGACAAATTTTATTAACATCATTTTCAATTTTATCAAATGGAAAAAAATTATTTGCACCATCACTACCAAATTCGGATAATATTATCGGATGTTTGAATGGAATTCGTTGTTTATCAATGTTGTGGGTAATATTTGGTCATTCTTATGCATTTGGTGCTGCTTTACCTTTTATCAATATGTTTGATATTGTTGAGGTAGGTTTTTAAAGTACATATTTATTATATAGCATAAAGCAAATTTATTTAATTAGAATATGTTGATAATAAAACTTTTTGCCACAGTACGTAGAAATATTTCCTTCTAACCACATGTTGTTCTTCTCTTTTAATGCCATCTTAAATTTTATATAACCGCTGACACACGTTTTATATTGATCAAATAAGTTTGATTAAAGTGTAAAGGATGAAGACGAAATGTTCATTAAGAGTAATAACATAAACATAATCTGTAGTCTAGTTCAATTTTTTAAATGTGTTCTGCAATGCCCACGCTCCAAGTTTTTTGTTCTTCCAAATTTACGACTGTTTGCCTATGAATTTTCTAATTTTTTCACAAATTACTATTTTCCATACATTATGGTATTATATCATGATAATTCTAGATAGGATACTCCATCTTTTAATGGATTTCTGCGTCACACTATTAATTGTAAAGTATTCATTGGCGGTAAATATTGTTACCAATTAACCTACATACATATGTATATGCCCATCTTCTTACAGTTTTAAACTAAATTTAATTTAAACTATGTTTTTGTTATTAATTTTTGTTCGTTTGTAGTGGAAATCTTCAGTATTTGCTCAAGTAATTTTTAATGCTAATATCTGTGTTGATTCATTTTTCTTTTTGAGTGGATTCCTAGTAGCTTGGATGGGTTTCAAAGAGCTTCATAAAAGGTGTAGTACAATTGTGTATTTAAATATTTATAAATCTTACATTTATTTTTCAGTAAAGGAAAATTAAATATTCCTCTAATGTACTTTCATCGATATATTCGTTTAACACCTGTTATTGGAGCTACAATCCTGTTCTTGTTAAGCGTATTTAAATTTTTTGGTAATGGACCATATTGGCATTTAATTTCTACATATTCACACGATCATTGTACTAAATATTGGTGGACAACATTACTTTATATTTTTAATTATGTGAATCCTCATGAACCAGTATGCAAAAAAAAAACAAAATAGAACTTATTGGATTTTATCAATTAAATTGTATTTAACTTAATTATATTATATTTTTATGATATTGTAGTGTTTATTACATACATGGTATTTGGATGTAGATACGCAACTGTATTTGTTGTCACCATTGCTTTTAATTCCAACTTATAGATGGGGACGCAAATTTTTATACCCTGTAGGTGCAGTAGTATGTATATTGTCAATTGGATGTTGTTTTGCGACACACGTGATATATAATTTTCCAATGATTCGAGTTGAAGGCACTGGGTAAAACTGAGTTGATTATGGTTGAAATATTATATTAAATTTAGTTTTGAATTTTTAACAGAGAAAAAGACTTGTATACATCAAAAATTTATTATGCAACTCATACGAGAGCATCACCATGGGTAATAGGATTTGTTCTTGGATACTTCATGTTTACACATAAATCAAAGCGGTTCGTAATCCCTAAGGTATGTTGTGTACAATATAAATATAGTTGTACATTCTCATAAATGCACTTTTATTCATACTATTTAAAGTTATACATTTCTAGATTTTTAATTTTGCTGCATGGTTGATGTCAGTGTCTATAATTTTAGCAATTGTTTTTGGACCGTATTCACGGTATCAAAATGGTGATGTAGCGACAACACTAGAAGCAGCATTTTATGAATCGTTTAAACGTTTTAGTTGGGCTGTAGCTTTGTCATGGATTGTTTTTTCATGTCAGAAAGGATATGGTGGAATTATAAATTCATTTTTATCCTATTCTTTTTGGACAGTTCTTGGAAGATTAACATATTGTATGTACATATGTCATATGTTCGTTTTAATGCTTAATTTCGGACGATTAAAAACCAATATGTATTTCAAAGATTATGACTATGTATGTAAATAAATTTAAACTCAGTTTATAAAATTAAGTTAAGACTATTGATATATTCTACATTTAATTAAAATATTTTTTATTTTAGCAATTAACAATATGGGGCCATTTTGGTTTAACCGTGTTTGTTTCAATTATAGCTACTTTAGCATTTGAACTTCCAATTTTACAGATGGAAAAAGTTATATTTGGTACAAAGAGAAAAAATGCAGATAGCAAGAAATCAGAATCAAACACAGATTTATATGGTTTAAAAAAGAATAATGTAGAGTAAAGATGCATCTCATACTGTAACAGAACTAAATTTAAATTATTTTAGAGAAAAATGTTATGTCTTAAATTATACTAAATAGAAAAATGTTGTCTTAAGTTTAATTTTTAATTGTAATTTCTGCAATCCTTTTATTTCTTCTTTTGTAATATTGAAAAATAAAATTGTGAAATATAGTATAATTATATGTATGTATTTAAGAAATATTAAAGTCAGAGTCCTTAAATTTTACAAACACCGGTTTGTTGATAATTTTTCATTCAAAAAAGTAATAATAAGTTCTTAAGATACTGGGCTGGAATCAGAGTAATTTCAGAACAATGAAAAGATCTGTGAATCGTATGAGTATAGCCATTTAAAAGATGTACAAATAATTGTTGTTTGATCCTAAATTAGAAATTAAGATATTAAATTTAAATTTGTTTCATTCACTTTCATCTGAAATTGATTAACAATAAAAATATAATGTGTGTGTACATACATTGTTACAATTAGGTTTATTTTTTTATAATTTTATTGAAATTTTACTTTAGATAACATATTGTGAATGTAGCTCAGGGAAATTCGAATTTATTTATTATTGACCATTTAATGAATTAAACGTTATATATATAATTTTATATTCTAAAATTGTATAGAAATAATCTATATTACATGCATATTTATTATCGTAAACCAGATTAAATTGAATTTTGATTAATAACTTTAATTTATAGGGACTACTGAATACAATAAAATAATCAAAAATGATCAATTATTTTAATGTTTACATAAGATAACTTTATCTTAAATATTTATTGGATAATCTTCCAATAATTATTTAATGACTAAAAATAATTAAACTGGACTTGTATTGTTTTTTATTATCTAAAAGGTAATTATGATTAAGCTCTGTAATTACGTTTAATAATAACATTTTTGGATTTCACATCATAAAAAATGTCTCGTCATGAAAAAGTTGGAATATAGTAAAATATGACTATAACAATTTTCTGTGCGTCAGATATTTACATACATATAAAATTTTTGTCCCAAATAGCTGTAAATATGCAAGAAATAAGTGTGTGCTACAAAATATAATAATATCTGTGTATATTGAGTGTATCGTTATTTTAAAATGTTCAAGATCTTTTAATAAATTCTATCAAGTTAATTATTTTTTCTAGTAAATCATTTTTTACTAGAAATGACAAAAAGGTGTTCGAAAGTTTAGGAATCAATATACTTTAACTCAGAACCTTTTTTATTTTTAAATAGTATTAAGTTTATATGGACTTTTGCTATTAAATTGCAAAGGAATATGATGTATTTAAGCTACTTAAGAATTGTAGAACTTTTAAGTTAAAAATTGGCTGCATGTTAATTTTTGTCAGTTATTCTACCACCCATCTTCTATTCCACTAAAGTTATGCTGCTTCGTTTTAAATAATGATCTTATAATGGAGTATGTTACATAGGTATTTAACTGTTACATGTCAAACAACTGACCCAGCAAAATTTTCATGATTCCTTTAATGAATTAAACCGTTAGATTATACTATTGTCAGACATGGCCAAAAACATTGTTTAGGTCGATTCTTTCTTTGTATATATAAAAAGACAATCTTGGAATTCAGTGGTAATCTATTAATTGAAGTGCATCGAATTACTAAAAAATTCTTCACATGTGATAAAACTAAAGTGTCAGTGGTGTTATCGAAACTTCATTGCTAATGTAACTGCGTTTTTTATACCCATCATTAAATGATTATAAATAATAATTACAAATTTATTATCTATATTAAAGTACTCTTAAAACTATAATTCAATACTTAAAACTATAAAAACTTAATTCTTTATTTTCAATCAGTTTTACAGAAGTAAAGCAAAAATCAGTTTGTTATTAAATTAAATTAACTATTATAATTATTAAATGCTGTTAAAAACTTTTCCAATTTTTAGTAAATTTTTTTAATTAACTAAAATAATTAGATATCTCTATTTTATGATATAAACACATATTTACATATTTAGAAAAAATTTAAAATGTTTTCAGTGCAAAAAGTATCAAAATTTTGTGTATTAATTTTAATTTTTTTTGAGTTTTATGCACAAAATATATTATGTCAACAGTTACTTTTTCCGGGACAGAGCCTCGATTTAAGCTTACTTAGTTCTATTGAACAATATTTGATAAAATCGAAAAATTTAATTAGAAATCATAATAAACATGATTATAATAATGCTTTTATTGAAAATAATTTTAATAATATTGAAGAAAGTCTTGTGCTATTCTATAATAAAACATTATGTGATTTGCATTTAAAAGAAATTGAAAATCAAGTGAGGAATTCAATTGTGAATGGCCAAATTCCAGAATTTTGGATTTTGCAATGTAAGTAAATATGACGAAAAACTTTATTCAATACACCATAATAATTAAAAAAAATTCAAAACATTTTCTATGTTTTGTATTTTCTATTCATGTTAATCTCAAAAAATCTATAAATTTAGTAATTCACTTTAGCTACATTTTTCTATAGTATTCGATTCATGGGGTAAACTGCCAGCTGGATTATTATCTGGTCATATGCGTGAGCTAGGTCAATTTGATCAATGTCTTAAAATAGAACATATATTTAAAGAAAAGAATTTAGGAATGTTCAAAGGACAATACTGTACTGGCTCAATACCATTAGAGCTTATAAAAGAGGCTCTCAATATTGATTTAGAGATGGCATCAAAAACAGGATTACAAGTAGGATTTTGTCTTCCAAGTACTTGTGAACCACAAATTTTAAATGATTTATGGATATCAATTTTGAAATTAATAACTGGAAAACAGAATATCAATGGAACCCTTGTTAGTGAATGTGTAACAAATGAACATGTTAAGTTTACTGTAGCTGATTATGTAGCACTGTAAGTGAAGAAAAATAATAAAATAATAATGTAATAAAAAATTCAATTTTTGCTGTATAATAGTTTTCAACATAAATCAGTTAAACGTCATGTATTTCTTTTGCAGTGTTATTTTTACTTTTGTTGGCCTTCCTATGGTGTCTAGCACTATTTACGACTATTTTAGAAGAAAATATAAAAGTAAGTTTATAAAAATATGTATGTATTAATAATCTCAATATCAGCTATATTGTATTTCTACCAGAGTTGAGGAATTTGTTGCTTTAATGATAATTGTACTAATGTTTCAACATGTAGTAATGCCTCCTATAACGTTATGTAAGTAAGGTTTTTTATTATATAACAGAAGTTTGACTAGCACAAAATCACATGACTGTTTTTATATATTATGTATATTACAAAATCTTTGTCGTACTCTTAGATTAAAACCAATTCTCTATAGATCTTTGTATAGATGTTTAATTTGTCTCGTAGATGTTCTTATATTCACGTGATAAAATTCCAAACCTTAATTGTATCGTTTTTTGATCTTTTTAAACATAATAACATTTTTTAAATTTTTCAAACGCTGAAGTAATGCGATTAAATGCACCTCTTAGCTTTTTTAAAAAAAAAACAGAGCTACGTTAAGCGAGGAAAAAAACGTTAAGTGGGGAAACGGTAATAGGAGGTATATGTAAGTTGAAAATAATAAAGACTCGGCGACATTTGTAAGTTTATCTTGCGAACTGGAAATATTTAATATATTGGTGCTTTTTCAAAATTACAGTTCTCATTTTTGTTCAAAATAATGTATTAGAACAAAGAGTATTTTGATGTTTACAAGTTTTCTTTAATCGATTGTATTTGTCACTCAATTGCTATTTCTGAATGAATTTTACTTCCTATTCAACATAGTTGTGTTGAAAACGTATTTCTTAATCACTTTAATTAGCCTTATGATATTGTTAGTTATATCATAAAAGTTTTATGTTATATTGCTGAGAATAACATTGTTGCTGAGCTTTATTTGAAGCACTTACAAGATAATTATATATATTATGATAAAATATAACAAAATATATAGAACATTCTTGTAAAAATGTGATCAGTAAGTCCTTTAAGCATAAATTTTGTAATATAATTTATAATTTATAAATTTACGGCCTTTTAATAAAGTTTTTTTTTCCGACAGGAAAGCCAAACAGTCTTCTAATTTCGTTTTCGATAATTTCGAATGGTGAAAAACTTTTCAAAATCTCTACAACGAAATCTCCAAATACAATTGACTGTTTAAACGGTATAAGGTGTATCACTATTGTTTGGATTGTACTTGGACACTCTTATATGACATTTTTTAATTCAAATCTCGTCAATGGTTTGGATGCTCTAGATGTAAATTTTTCTTAGTTCTACATAATTTAAAATATTTTTAAGCAAAGATAGATATTTTTTTTTAATTTAATGTTATTTCAGTGGATGAAAAGCTTCTTCGCACTATTTATGGTGTTTGGAACTGTATCGGTTGACACATTCCTTTTTTTAAGTGGTCTTCTGCTTACTTGGACTGCTTTCAGAGAAATGGAAAAAAGGTTTTTCTTGTAAAACTTTGTTGTTTTGCGTTAAATTTACTGATTTAGTCAATTTGTTATTATAAAAGCTAGAAAATAAGAAAAAACTTTTTAATTTTTCGTGACAAATTTGAAAAATAAATAAACTGAACATATTAAAATTATATCAGTATCAGTACGAATAAGAAAAAACCAATATACATATGTACACATGTATATTTTGTTATTGATACTTTTTTATTCGAAAAAATTTAGCAAAGAGGATTTTTACTTAACTCTACTTCATTATATTTTACAGTAAGGGTAAATTAAATATCATAATTATGTACGTGCATCGCTATTTAAGATTGACGCCTGCCCTAGCTGCAGCTGTACTGTTTTGCGTAAGTTTCGTAAAATATATTGGAAATGGTCCATTTTGGCAACAAACTGTTAAGAAATCACTAATACAGTCATGTGAGAGAAATTGGTGGGTTACGTTGCTTTATATACAAAATTATAAATTAGAAGGAGGCATTTGCTTACCGCAGACATGGTATTTGGGTGTGGACACACAATTATATTTTTTATCACCATTGCTCTTGATACCATTATGGAAATGGGGTAGAAAAATGATTATTCCGTTGATATTTTTAGCTCTATTATCAATAGCGTGCATTTTCACAATTTTTATGAAATATGATTTTTCTACTATAAAATCTAAAACAGGGTAAAATAATAGTATACATGTTATTGGAAAAATTTTCTCTAAAAAATATTTTAAATTTCTACATTAAGCTGGATGAGTGATAACAGTTTTGAGCTCACATATGTTCCAACACATACAAGATATGCACCATGGTTAATTGGATTTTTAGTTGGATATTTTCTGTTTGAAAATAAAAATAAAAAATTCAAAATGTCGAAGGTATATTTTCTATAAGATAACCATATTTAATTATAGTTAGGAATAAATTAATGTATAGTAGATAGCACTTCAAACCTTATTTTATGCTTTAAGTTAAATTACTTTTAAATAATGATTGTTTTTTTAGATCATGGCTTCAATTGCGTGGATGTTGAGTATTGGTATTCTGTTGAGTATAGTCATCGCTCCATTTAATCGAGTAAGGGAAGGTGGAGGATACCCAACAAAAGTAGAAAGTGCTTCATATGCAGCTTTTAGTAGAACATCATGGACAATTGCGTTAAGTTATATTGTATTTGCGTGTCACAAAGGTTATGGGGGAATAATAAATGATTTCTTGTCATGGCCCTTCTGGCAACCTTTTTCACGAATAACTTACAGCATTTATATTGTTCATTTGGCATTTCAATATGTTATAGCAGGAAATACAAAACACGATCAATATTTTTCTAATTTTAGTGTGGTATGTAATAGAAGAGGGTTGGTAACTAAAATTTAAATAAAATTTAAATGAAATAATTTTTAGATTTACAAATTTTGGGGTGACTTTGGATTTACTCTAAGTATTGCACTTCTTCTGGCGCTTGGTTTTGAGTGTCCAATAATTGAAATTGAGAAAATTATATTTAAGCGGGAAAGTACTGTAGTTTTAAACGGAAAGAATAATATTGGTCACAATCAAAACTGTAACAATACAAGAGAAACTCCGTAAAAGAATTCCGTTTTAATAAATTTTCATATTTTTAATCAAATAAAATAAATGAGAACTGTTTATAATTTTTTTTTTGTTCATTATCAGATATTTAAATTATCAGATTAGTTAAAAATATTGCCACTGTTTTCCAAAATCAACTTCGATTAATAAATTTTTTTTTAATTCACAATTATTAGAAAAAAAAATGTTCATTACATACATATATATATATACACATGTATGTATTTGTTTTTAAATTTTTTATGAAGACAGGGGAAAAAATGTTGATTAATACTATGTTAGAGATCGCACCAAATTAACATTGTGCAATCTCTTTCCTTGAGATTTCAAATTTTTAAATTTGCCGTAAATTAATTTAAATAAATCGTCAATAAAATTTTTTCAGTAAATATGTAAGTATTTACATATTTACTTAAATGTAAAAGAACTTATATAAAAGTATGGATAAAGTCACAAAAAAGTTTTCGAAATAAGTGAAAAGCTTTAAAGAAGTTTTTGTCAAATTTATTGGGCGGCTTTTAAGTGCTGTGGCTTGTTTTGCCTATTGTGACGAAATAAAACGACTACAAAAGATTACCAGAAAAAAAGTAATTAATTATATTAAATTATCAAAATGAAAAATAATCTTCAAATTCGATAATTAATCTATCAATAATTTCCATATCCGACTTTATAAAAGTCAGTTGAAATTGATAAGTTTCAGTTAGTTTAAACATTACAATTAACTCTTACAATATATGTTCACATTGTGGTTTGTCGAATAATTTTGGAATAAATTGGAAAATGTTGATGAATTACAAAATGTTTTCTATTCAATTTATTTTTTTATTATTTTTACAAATTGTGTTGTCTCAAAAAATATTTTTTCCATTGCATAATTCCGAATTTAATTTCTTTAATTTAATAAATGCTAATAAATCATTATTAAGAGAAAATAAAATTAAAACAAATTATGAAATTCTAAGTAATGAAATCGCTAGCAATAAAAATTTAAAGGGTTCCCCTTACAATGACACATCATGTGATGATCATTTAGATGTTGTTTTAACTCAAATTTTCGAGTTAATAATGGAAAAGAAAATACCAGAGCCATGGTTGTTAAAACGTAAGTTTGTATTGTAAAAATTAGCATATATTATAAGTAGTTTAAAAAATATAAATATGTGCTTGTCGCATTTTAAGAAACTTGTGAGGTGAATTGCAATTCGTTTTAAATTTGAAATAACTATAGTAAAACTAAATCAAAAAGTTATAAAATCTTTAAAATCAAATTAAATAAAACCAAATAATAAATATAGCTAAAACATGAACAACATTTTTCATGAATATTAAATTTGTTTTATAAAAAAAGGACTGTGAATTTAAAAAATTAATTAAAAATATAAGTGGTCGCGCAATATAAAACTGGAACCAAATTTCTAATGGTACAATTTATTGTTGAACTTGTAATTAAAGAATTGGAGTGCAGAATATCAATGTGGACAAATTATATTTCAAACAACTTCATTCATAAAACTTACATATGTATGTACATATTCGCAATATTCTTTTGTCAAGTAAAGCGTGCCAGCTGTTAAAACGCTATTTTTTTTAAAACAAAAAACTAGTTAAATTCTTATTGAATTCGCATTCCATTTAGACAGTAATTTTAATACATGTATTGCTAGTTTCTTATCTTTAAAATATAAAGAAGCTTTGATGTATTATATAATTAAAGTTAGTATCGAAAAGCCTACTCAAATTTATATACTTTGTGTTAAAAACACACTTAAGTATTATACAAAACATGTGTGTAATTTTGAAGTGGGTAATAAAATAATTATTTTCATTGTCCGATTAAAAATCTAACGTTTGATATTATAACTGAAGACGCCAAATGATAAAAGCGGAAAATAAAAACGCGTTATTACAATAAAAACTTTTTAATAAAATAAAGTTGTTTACAAATGAAAAAATTTAAAATATTTAAATTTGCTGGTTTAAATAAAAATCAATACAATTAGGCATTCAATATTTCAAATATTATGATTTTTTAATAATTATTTGTTATCAGTTTTAGATTCATGGGGTAAATTACCAGCCGGTATAATGTCTGGTCATTTGCGTGAAATCGGACATTTTGATCAATGCTTAGAATATGAACATAATTTTAATAGTACAAGTCTTCAAAATTTAAGAGGTCAATATTGCACGGGAGTTATACCGTTGGATGTTATAACAAATTCTTTAAATCTTAGCATTGAAATTCCACCGGGACCATTTCCAACCATGATGGGATTCCAATTAGGAATTTGTGTCCCAGACACCTGTACACCACAAAAAATTAATGAAGTATGGATAAGGCTTTTAAGGTTGATCGGAGGAGAAATTCTGTCGAATGAAACTTTAATTCACAGTTGCGAAATTAATAATAAATCTATTGAATTCAATGCTGCTGATTATATAGGATTGTATAAACTAAGCAAAATTTTGCTTTTAATCTCATTTTAATTAAGATATTCGTTTTTTTAGTATCATTTTTGGTCTCGTCGCATTTTTTACGTTAGCAAGTACTCTATACGATTATTTGATCATAAAGCAAGGAGGTATATAACAATTTATGTACATACATACAAACATATATACTCTTCATTTATTTTGAAGAATAATAATTATATAATACTTAAATTATGTCTGTATATATTCTACCCTAGGTAGAGGAAATGATCTACTGATTGCGTTTTCAGTAATTACCAATGGAGAAAAGTTATTTAAAATTTCGACAAAAAAGTCTCCCAATGTAATCGAATGTTTGAACGGTTTAAGGTGTATATCAATTGTTTGGATTGTTCTTGGCCATTCCTATGCGACCTTTTCCACTATAAGCATTCTAAATGGGCAATATGCTATTGAGGTATTAAATTTTTCATATTAGTTTTGATAAAATTGATTTTTAAATATTCTAAGCTTCTTTAATTGGCTCATTTTATAATTTTAGTGGTTTAAAACATTTTTTTCGGTTTTCATACAATTTGGTACAGTATCCGTTGATACATTTTTATTTTTGAGTGGTTTACTAGTTATTTGGAGTGCTTTTCGTGAAATGGAGAAAAAGTAAGTATGATACGAATTACAGTTCTAAGAAGAGAAAGAATTGCGTAGCTTTAATCAAATATCATAAAATTTTATAAAATTTTTAAATCGAACTTTCACTCTAAAAAAATTAATTACTAGCTGTTACAGTTGAATTAAAAGCTTCGAAAGGAAAAATATAATATGAACATCATAGAGTTATATGAACAATAATCTGTACAATTAAATTTTCAGTGGAGGACGATTGAATGTAATCATGATGTACATTCATCGTTATTTACGATTGACACCAGCACTTGCAGCTGCTGTACTATTTTCTGTAAGTTTTGTTAAATATATTGGCGACGGTCCTTTTTGGCAACAAAACATAGCTGGTCCAATAGTTAGTGCATGCGAGGATAAGTGGTGGGCTACATTAATATATGTGCAAAATTATGTTATGGATGGTCCTATAGGTCAAACAATTTGTATACCGCAATCCTGGTATTTGGCAGTAGACACACAATTATTTTTACTGTCGCCATTAGTTTTATTGCCATTGTGGAAGTGGGGTAGAAAAATGATTTTACCAATAATCATTTTGGCGTTATTATCAAATGCCTGTGTTTTCACTATTTTCATGAAATGGGATTTTTCTACAATAAAAAGTTCTGCTCTCCTGTAAGTTTGCAAAAATTTAGATTTATTAAAATTTTTGATGTGTTATTTCAAAATTAAATGCACTAACGTCTTCGTGTATGTTTATTATATTTAAAGTTTCACAATGGAAAGAATGAAAATGACGTATGTTCCCACTCATGCGAGATACGCTCCTTGGCTAATAGGAATTTTGATTGGATATTTTTTGTTCGAAACAAAAAACAAAAAAACTAAGCTTCCAAAAGTAAGCCTGTAAAAATATCTGCCTAGCATTTACTCATATTTTATTTATCGTAAGTTCCTTCACCTCATCTAATAATTATATAATTTCAAATAATTCGAAATTTACTTACAAACAATTGTACAAATATGTATTTTAGGTTGTTGTATTCTGTGGTTGGTTCGTCAGCATAGCTATAATATTAGCTGTAATAATTGGCCCATACAATCGCGTACGCGAAGGTGGTGGTAATCCAACAAAAATTGAAAGTTCTTTTTACGAAGCATTCTCAAGAACATCTTGGTCCATCGCATTGGCTTGGATCGTATTTGCATGTCATAAAGGATATGGTGGAATGATAAATTCTTTTTTATCTTGGACAATTTGGGAACCATTTTCTCGGTTAACTTATTCAATTTATATTGTACATTTTCCAATACAATATCTGGTGAACGCGAATACAAAACATGATAAATATTTCTCAAATTTTGATGTGGTAAATATGTGCATGATTTTAATAAAATTTGTGTTAATGATACACGGTTCGTCCTATATAAACTAAATTTTATGATAACGCATGAATCATATACATGTTGTTTTATATATTTTCAGATGTATAAATTTTGGGGAGATTTTGGTTTCACATTATGCATAGCGACTTTATTGACTTTAAGTTTTGAATCACCTATCATTGGAATTGAAAAAGTGTTATTCAAAAGAGGGAGTGAAGTCAAAGACAAGAAATACAATACCAAAGAAGATCCCAATACTAAAATTAGTGAAGATGCTCTTAATAGTGATACAAAATATGAGAAAGTTTAAAAAATTTTAAAAGGTTCTCTTGATAAGATAACTACTCCACTGTAATTTTCCATATTATGTGTACATTTACTCGTATTATAATACTTTTGTAAAGTGTAAAACATTTTTTGTCATTAAAATTTAGAATGCTATGAAATTCCGATTTTCTGGAATTTTTAATTTTCATATAAAAACTACGATTTTTTTATTTCAAAATGATAAGCACCATGACAATCAGAATTAATTTGGAAGTTTTAAGAATTTAATTATTATGGGCTTAAACAATATTAGATATTGGTATTACAATATACAACTTTTAAATTCGGAAGAAAGGGATTCGTTACTTAAATCAAAGAAATTTTCATAAATCTAAATAATTTAATAAATCATTTTCATGCAATAAGTGTGAAAGTGAGGTGCTGAATAAATAATAATAATATAAACGTTAAAAAAATTCTGCGCGTATATCAAACCTATTTAACAAAATGTTAGGTATATAAGTTTTAGAAAGAGTTTGGCTTAGCATTAGTTCAGGTTTTAATTACCTATCATTGAAATTGAAAGCAATTTTATTAAAGAGGTTCAGCAGAGAAGTTAACAAGGATTTTAATACCAAAAAAGATCGTATTAATAAAAGCGGGAAGATTCTCGCAATACTTACATATGTATGTCAGCTACTGGAAAATGTAGAATTTAAAAAATTCTGTTAAGCATTTATATTGCTTGTTAAAATTTTTAAAATTGGTGCTATTTCCATTATATTGAAATAATAAATTCAACTAATTCAACTAATAAAAACTTTAGAAAAGATTATTTTATTTTGCTCTTGTTAAAACTAATAGAAAACTGAAAAAATTGAAAGTCATTTGAAAAATTTTGGACTTATGGAAAGTGTTATGTTAAAGTTATTTTGATTGCGTAGATTGTCCGAACAGTTTGATACTTTTAAATACTAAATAATAGTAACCTGAAATTTTTATATGTAATTGCTCTATTTCGATGACTGTGCGAATAGATGAAACGAGTAATATAAAGTAGTTGAGCTCTTGAATTGCCAATATTAAAAATTGATTAGCTAAATTGGCAAAGGTAGTATTTATTACTTTAACCGGCAATCATAATTTCATAATTCATACACCTTTTAATATCTTCAAAATATAAATACACCTTTTTGTATTTTTTGTATAATTAAGTAGCCAGTCTTACAATTATAACAATTAAATCAGTTAATTTTTATTCTTGATAAAAATGATAAGAATGGTCTAACCTAAAGTCTTTTAATCTAATCTTTAAAATATTATAATAAAAAAAACTAAATAAATTACACAAAAGTTAATTTACAATGCCAAAAATAAAAAGTCCAATCGAAAAATACAGAAAAAAAAATATTTTTCCAGTTTTAATTTAAAACTTGAAGGAAATAATTCAATATTATTGTTATACAATGAATAAATTAATTTTATTTTTTACTGTTAATTTAATTTTAAATAAAAGAATATTAGCAGAATTTAATAGCAATAATAATTTAAAGTTACATTTAAATAATCAAATTTTTAATGAATCGCTAGGATTTAAATTTTACGATATTTCAACTAAAAACATAAATATAAATAAATTAAATTCAACTAATAGTAAAAATGATGAATTGTGTGAAAGCGAACTGACTGCAATCAGAAACGGAATATTAACCGGACAGTTATGGGCTTATAAAGGTAATAAAGTAGATAAGGTAATAAAGAACATTTAAGAAACTGAATTTTGAATTTGAAACTTAATTAAGTAATATAAACTTAAATAAACTTTAATTACTTAAACAATCGAGTTGCTTCTCGGTAAAATCTGGCTTTTAAATGTGGCATATTATATCGTTTGTGCTATATATGATCGCATGTCTTTAAGACTTAAGCATAAAATATATTTATATATGTATGTATGTATGTATAAAATGTTATTTTTACACTAAACAATTGAAAAATATGACATTCATTTTTATATACAGTTATTGATTCATGGGGTAAAATACCGACCGGAATTCTAGTTGGACATTTAACTGATGTAGGAAATTTTGAAGAATGCATAGGAATTTCAGAAATGATAAACCAAGAAACTGAACAATTGTTGGAGGGAAAGTATTGTTTTGCTGAGCTTTCATTAGCAGATTTAATAGGAGGTTGGAAACCGATAGTGGTCCCGAAATTTGAGCCCAGAATAGGTTGGGGCGAAGAACTAAATGCAATCAAAAGTAATTTTTTTTTAAATTATATTAAAAATGTTTTTTAACACATACTTTAAATGAAAAAATGTTTATACTTTTAGATTTGAAAATTGCTGTTTGTGTACCAAAATCTTGCAGAACAACTTTAGCAGACGATGCTCTAAGAAATCTGTTACAACAGGTGGGAATAACATTAGATAAAGAAAAGCCAATAATTCAATCATCAACATGTAAAACCAAATTAGTTCCTTCCTATAGAACTGTAGATATTGTAGCTATGTAAGTATGAAAGTATTTAAAGGGTATACTAACATTATAAGTAAATAATTAATTATTATGAGTATTTGTATATACTCATAATAAGATACTTATTTGACATTAAGAAATAGAGTTTTCAATGTAGATTTTTCTCGTATTCGATTCCTAAGTATATTATACACATTATATAAGCAGGACGGTATTAAATTTCGTTACATACCAAACTTAACTTCTTTACTTGATTTAATTTTGAAGTCTTCCTTCACTTGTTTTAGTTTTTTTTTTCTTTTTAATTATTCGTGAATCACATACTACTGGAACCTGTTATAAAATAATTTATTAAATTTTAAAAAAAGTCTATTAAAAAAAAATTAAACTTGCAAAAGAGTTTGGAATTTTCGGGCCTTATTATTTTACTACAAACACAATATAATCGTTGGCGATATTGTATTGCTTTTCTTTTAATTTTAAATAATATCAAAATTAGATGTCTGATAATAATAATTTTTAAAAAACAATTATAATACCTATGATGTCAATCACATTTAACGCTACAGTACTGATAAGCGAATATGAGTAATACTAATACCGAAACATAATAAGAGATCAACTTTAATTAACATAATTTTTGTTTATATCTCAATATAATTAAATTGTAGTAAGTATGATTAAAACCATCTTTAAATTCGTTTTCCTAATGACAAATTTAAAAATATGTGTGATTCTTACTATAAAATACGTGGAGTTGTATCTCTTTGGGTTTATTAACTGACAGAATATCAAGTGGTACATTCGGTTTATAACTTGAAATCTGGGGGAGCCCATTAGATTTTAAAGATGACATATATTATATTACTAAATATGCTATGATAGAAACCCCAAATGTACTTTTAATCTCTATACTAAACTAAATAAATGTACAACTAAATAAATGTTAGCGTATAACTAAATTTTAAAAAAAAATTCAAAAAAATATTTATACATTCTTTTTTTTTTAGTTCATTTTTCTCTTTTATTGGGTTTTTGATGTTAATAAGTTCAGCTTATGATTATACAACTTCATCTTATGGAAGTAAATCAAACCTAACATTATATATAATAGTCCATATAAATTTTTTAACACGCCTTTCTGAATATTTTAGAAAAACCAATAAAAATCTTAACAGCTTTTTCAATTGTTACAAATGGTAGGAAATTGTTCCAGATTCAAGATACTTCAAAACGTAACCCAAATGTTATCGAATGTTTAAATGGCATACGAAGTTTATCTATAATTTGGGTGGTATTTGGTCATCAATATTTCGTTTCAAACTTTGTAACAAGTATAAATGCGATTTATATCTTAGAGGTAAATTTAAAATAATCTATTAAATTCTGGTAAAGTTCACAAAAACTTCAAAAGTACTGAAAACACTACTTCATAACTTTTCCAATTTAATTGACAGTGGGCTCGATCACCCTTTGCTTTATTAATGTTGAATGGTGTTCTTTCAGTAGATTCATTCTTTCTTTTAAGTGGCTGTTTAGTATCCTGGATTGGTTTAAAAACATTAAATAAAACGTAAGAATTTATTTTGGTATAGTGAACTTGATTGAACAATAAAAATAAATGTTATTTTATAAATATATGTACATAAATGATTAGTGTTGTATTTATGTTAACAAAATGTTTTATTGAGTGTTAAAAGTAAAACTTTGTGTTGAGTTCACCGATTGAGTCCATTTAAGTTAATTTGCATATGTATGTATATAAAATTGTTGCTTGAAAATCTATAATTGTTGGCAATGTACTGATAAAATTGTGCAATTTGCAGAAACGGAAAATTAAATGTTTTTAAAATGTATTTGCACCGTTATTTGAGATTAACTCCACTACTAGCAGCAATGGTGTTGTTTACAGCCAGTTTACAAAGATATCTCGGAAATGGTCCCTTTTGGAATTTCGATCAGGTGGAACAATATTGTCAGGAAAATTGGTGGTCAACGTTACTCTATGTCGCTAATTATGTACATGGCGACAAATTAGTAAAAAAAACTATCTTTTAAAGAATTATTCATTTTAATTTCATTTATTTATGCATTTCTAGTGTTTTGGTCATTCATGGTATTTATGTGTAGATACACAACTTTATATTTTATCTCCTTTAATTTTATGGCCCCTGTGGAAATGGGGTAAAATAGCATTTTTACCTATAATTATTTGCATACAGGCATCAATGGGTTATGTTTTTGCAGAGTGGATGAGTAGGGATTACCATTATTTGTTCTTGGAATTGTAAGTCAAAAAAACATTAAAAATTAAATCAAGTCTTTAAAATATGAATACATAATATTATATAATTGCAAATTACATATGTAATAACAAATTTTTAATTATATTAATTTAATTTTAAATTTATATCATATTTGAATTATTTTTGAATTAAAGTAAAATATTTACACATAAAAATACTTAAAATTGATACATACTTATTTATACTGGTAAATCTATATTTTTTTCTGATTTTAGCAACGACAACGATTTAACAAAGCAAAAATATATTTATTACGCAACACATGCAAGAGTTTCGGCGTATTTAGTTGGTGTATTACTAGGCTATTATTTATATCAATATCGAAATAAAAAGATGAAACTATCGAAATTTAAAATCATGACTGGATGGTTATGTTGTTTATCACTTTTTGCAGTAATTTTATTTGGACCCTATCACAGATCAAGCAAGCAGCCAGAATCTGGCATGACAACAATTGAAGGAGCTATTTACGAACCATTTAGTCGTTTTGCATGGGCTATCGCATTGTCATGGGTTATTTTTGCTTGCCATCACGGCTTCGGAGGTTTTATAAATAAAATTTTGACTTTTGGTATATGGCAACCTATTGCTCGTTTATCTTATGGAATTTATCTGAGTCACTTGACAGTACAAATGGTTTGGTACGGAAATTATAAAGTAGAGCAGAATTTTTCGGATATGGAAACTGTAAAGTATAATTTGAATTTTGTTTTCAGCTTAACTGAATTCGTTTTTCCTTTTTCTCTATTTTGATAGATATTTATGTTTTGGGCTTGTTTTGGAATAACATTATGTATTACTGTTATAATAGTTTTAGCTTTCGAATCACCAATCATAATAATTGAAAATTGGGTGTTTGGAAATGGAAATTTGGAAAGAAAGAATGTTATATTGGAACCTACTACATCGAAAAATATTAATGATCCGAAAGAAAGTAAAATTGAAACAGAAAGTGAAGTTTCTCATTTATAGTTTGGAATATTTTTGGAAAATTTGAAATTGGGTTTTGCAAATTATCAAAGACCTAAATGTGAAACAATTCATCAATTTACATCAATTTTTCCTGTATTCATGTAATAGAATTTATTATTTATTTTTGTGATAAAAAAACAAACATCTTTGTTACCTAAATCTACAATTAATTTTTTTTGTAGTGAACGGGTTTCTAGACTATTTTAAATATTGCCAATTCTAATAAAATTAATAAAATAAACACGATTCAAATTGAAATTATAACCTTGTTTGAATATTTTATGAATGAACTTTTACATATAATGTAAATAATTAAATTCAATTAACATTATTGCTTTATGAAAAAATTTTTAAACGATAGAGCTGAAATACTTGAATAAATTTTTCAATTCAACAAACTTATATTTTGCTCTTCTCAATATTTTTATGTAAATAGGTACCTCTATCTGCCTGTTACTATAACAATATCGAACATTTAAAATGTTATTTCTCTCTTTAAATTTTTATTTTGAATACAAAAAAATATTGATGAACTGATCTGAGCTGATCTGAATATGTTTACTGAAAGATTTCTCATTAAAAAATACGTAGTGAAATAAACTTCCTTCAAAAATTATTATGTAATATTGTAATGCATTAGTAAATTTAAGTTTGTGTTTGTGATTAATTTAAGATCTTATAGATTTTTGATTTCGATTTGCTACAATGTTTAATTGAGCTGACCCTTATTCATTTTCCGTCCATAATTTCATCTCCAATATTATTTTTATAGATTCTGTGGCAATGATTTTCAATTTTTTTCAGTTTGCTGACTAATGCTTGCATTTCTTCAGTGTTACAAACAAGTTGTATTATTTGTCTACGATCCCCAGTTTGCTCATTCGATTCATATAATGTTAACTGGTAGTCCACATTACTACAACTTTCATTTGAATGTTTAATATCGCATGCCAGTTTCCATTCTGATTCACCCGAATAATGTAATAAAGTGCTACCAGTTTTTAAATTTCTTGCAACTAATTTTGTATAATTGATTTCACATACTTTTATTATTTCATCAATAATTACGTTGTTTATTTCGTGTGAATTAAGCAGTGTTTTAATTTTATTTTTGTCTAGCCCATGTCTTATTATTAAAAACAGTAATGTAACAATCGCATATTCGCTTTGCTTTGCACAATCCGGTTTCACAGCATAAATTTCTGGGTTAAATGGAACTCGAACATCAGCTAACAACAACATTTTTACTGCATTTGAAATTATTTTTTTGCTTAGTTCAATATTAAGTTGTGCGCCCATATTTTTCAAGCCTTCGATGACAATACTTGATAAAACAAGTTCTGTTCCTGAATTCAGTTTCGCATTTGCAGTGATATCCATATTTTCAAACTAAAAATAATATGTTCAAGTTAGATATGAATAATAATAACAAATTATGCTATTGAATGAATGTATTAGAGAAAATTGTAATAAATTAAATTGTAACAAAGTTTCTAATAAAAACAATTTATTATAAATATCCACACCCAAAATGTTGTCGCTTAAATATAATCAAAATCAGCTGGAAGAGTGTAGCATTTTATTTCTGCAAATTATTTCGTATTCGTAAAACAATGCGAATCTAGCGACAATTTTTATAACTAATCTCATTTATAACTATTAAAAGTAAGTTAAATAGTGCCACTACAATAAAATTTTTATTTGTGGCATATATTTGTGGTATTTTATTAACTTAAAATTTATATTTTACGGTATACATGCATGCGTATGCACTTTTACACAAGAGAATAAATTATATTGCATTTCAAATTTCCAGTTAATCCAGCTGATTTTAGTATAGACCAATAAACTTTATCCACCAAAAATTGTAGGGTGAATTCGCTTACTATTTCCAAATATTCAAAATATTCTAAAAAAAAAATAAATAAAGAGGAATTTATTAAAAGAGTAAATAAACTTATTTTGTTAGTTTGGGCATGTATTTATTTATCCTTGTATAAAATTCAAGTTTTCTCACCATTGCTGTGATTAGTTTTTTTTAATAACAAAGCTTTTTCAATTTATTTTAAATGTTTGAAATATGTGATAGTTTCAATATTTAATCTCACCTTTTAAGTAACTTTTACATTTTATGAGGTTATATATGTATATAAAAGAGCACATAAATCTAAATTTTCATCAGTTTCTGTTTAAATTCCTATGACTTTCAAACAGAAATAAATAAATTTTGATTAAATTTAAATTTCTATGAATTTGATGTTCTAAATTGATTAACTCGATTTTCTCATTTTTTGAAAAGAGAAGTATAATTTTCGTATTTCGTGTCAATTCCGGAGTTAAGCAAGTATATTCTTACTTTTGTTGTACAATCACACTGTACAAAGTTTGATTCGCTTTATTGAAATTTTAATTTCAATAAAGCGAATCAAACTGAAATCTGAAAAAATTTGGTATTGCATAACATTGCATTCTCCAATATTTATTAATGGAAGAGAAACTTTATTATATTTGAAATAAAACAATGTGTTGTTGGGTTTTTAGCCTTTAGGAAAGTCTCTTATATTTAAGCGAAATATAAACAAAAGAAAAATTTGTTTGGGACTTTTTTCTTAATTGTATAATTAAAATAATTAGTTAATGGTATTTTACGTTATAAGAACGAATTCTTAAACTTATATAAAAGTTGAACTTGTACTTAAATAAAAAGTGAAACATAAAATTTTTATAAAAGATTTGGCTGTTGCAAAAGTTCAAGATTTATGTTGAAAAATCTTTTGCAGATTTTTTATTCGGCTTGGCACTATTGTACATTCTTACATATGAATTTTAGTGCTGCTATCTGTTGAAATTGGTTTTATGCTTTATGGTCGACCAATAAAAGTACGCCATTTTAATCACGTGGTACACTTCGTTTTTACATCGTTTAAAATCGTTTCAATTATTTTACTTAGCCGAAGATGCCGACATTTGCAGTTTGCAGGAAAATTTAGCATTTTCCTTTTTAAATCTAAAAACATACATAAGTGAAAGAGAGTGTGTAAGGTACGGACGTGAAATGAATATACTGCGCTCGCTTCACCGACAACGACGACGGTATTGAAAAAAAAAACAACATAAAATGAAAAATCAAATTTTTTCCTTCTTCAACATACAAAAATAGTACGCCATTTTGGTAAAATCGGAGTCTAAATTTCGTATCTTGTCGGACGTGAAATTTTATTTCTCTTAATTCTGGCTAAATTTTATACATTTTAATTAAAATAGCTAATTGATATTAGTGCATTTTGGTGTAAATAATTATTTAAAAAATTTAAAATAATAAAAATTAATATTTTTAAATGGTTTTTCGGCTTTTAAAAATTTTTCAAAATTCATTCACATAAAAAAAAATGAGAAATTTTCGATTTCAATATTCATAGGAAAAAAAGAAAAAAACAACAAAAAAGAAAAAACTGAAAAAAACTTCAATAAAAATTCAAGTAAATTTTAAATCATTCAATAGAGGCGCTGGCTTCTACGTAAAAATTTCTATTTCTCTGTTTGAATATGAGTTTGTGTATAAAATACAATTTTTTTTTGAGATATGAAGGAATCAAAATTATGTTGTATTTATTGAACATAGTGTTCGCATAAGAGAGATAAATATATATGCTTAGTTTTCAAATAGAATAATGGAAAGAAATAAAAATTTTTGAAGTTATGAAAATTTTTGGAATAAAAAATTAATTTTATGAAATGTCTGTATGAATATTTTGAAAAATTTAAAAAAAAATAAAGTTTTTTTTAAGAAAAAAGTGTTTTAGAAAAGATAAAAAACAAAAATTTAAGAAAAATTGTATAAAAATCGGCGCCGTACTTGCTAATTATTTTTGTAGGTCCCTTTGTGGCAGCAGCAAAGTGCAGAGAGTACTCAATTTTATAGTCAGTAGTAGTAATCAGCAGTTGACGAACAAGGAGAAGCTGATTCTATCCTTTATTTCTTTTCTTTCCTATAAATTTCAATATATTTGTGCTTTTCATTTGTGGCTTTTTACCTTTCATACATATATTTTATATATGTATAATATAAGTATAAAAATGGCTTATTTCTTTCAAAATATTTGATTTGGTTTTTTTTTATAATTTACTTCTGCATTTTTTTTTGTCAAATGGTAAAAACTTGATAAATATTTTGATTTTTTTAGATACTTTGAGAAAATTTAATGCATTTTACTTCGATTTTGCAAAAAAAAATTAATTATTTTAAAATTTTATGGCGCGTTCTGTTTTATTATTTTCGTTTTTTATTATTATTTTTTACCAATCTTAAAATTGAGCCAGAATAGTTTTAAAATCATTTTTTTTTGTATTTAAAAAAATATTTTTAAACGATAATAGAGAAACAATTCAAGGCCACACAAAGAAAATTTTTCATATATAATGTTCTCAAAAGTCTAGCCCAATAAATCCCAAAAAATAAAAAAGCTAATAAGCATGAAATTTATATTTCTCTTTTCTAGCTTTACTAATTTATAATAATTTAAAAATAAAAAGTTCGAAACATAAATTTTTAAAATTGAGTTTATAAACGAAAAACCAAGAAATATTAATGATTTTTAATTTTTTAAATAATTTCTGCATAAGATTTAAAGTAATCGACTAACATTTCAGTTTTCAGATAAAATAAATAATTTTTAGTAAACGTTTATGGAATACATACATGTTTTTTTGTACTATGCAAGTGTATAATGTAATTTATTGTGAATTTAAGAGAAACTATGAAACTATTATCTTAAAGATAGAACAAAAATATAAAAACTCCAATTTTTATTAAGATAAATATGTGAATCTGAATTATTAAATAAGGTTTTAGAGAATATTTTCAATTAAATATCAGACAAAAAAAAAAAAATTAACAAATACTTAAATGAAAACTTAAAAAAAAAATTAAATGATATCTATGTACATTTTAATTAAAAAATTAATAAATAAGGTGTTCCATTGTTGAAATTGAAACGAAGAAAAAGTCTAGATGAGATGAAAAAGACTTATATTGCAAGAACTATCTGAATATACTTTTTTTTGATATTTTTCAAACTAAATATGCTACTAGTAAAGAATTCCTATAAGAGAATATTAAGTAATCAACGTAATAAGAAGAAATGCGCTAGAAAATTTAAACTTAAGGAACATGTACAAAAGTTTTCAAAACTTTTTTCGAATATTTCAAAGAAAAAGAATTATATGATTATTGAATTTTTCGAAAAGTATCGCAAAGCAACAACAATAACATTGGAAAACAACACAAGTGCATTTCATAAAATTAAAAAATTCATCTATGGTGATTTTTTCACAATTATTGATATATTGAATAAAATTTCCTTATCAACAGTAGCATTAAGTGCAGGATACAATTATTTTAACAAAGACAACTGTGACGACGATCATATTATTGCCAATAAGAGTAAGAAAGTTGAAAGTATAAGTGCATTATTAATAAAACTAAGATCATTACCTTCGGTATCGAGTTTTAAAATATTTTCATATATGTTATGAAGTTCGTAAAATAAATACGATCATTACTCTATAATTACGATTTCTATTTTCAAAACAATCACCTACATCACCACTTTAACTTAGAAATAATATAAGGCATAAAATTACCTACAACAATTTTGACTGTTGCTTTAACCAAATAAATAAACTAAAAATGATCGGAAGTTATAAAACTACCTAATCATAATTAAAATAATATATAAAAACTAATCTAATATTGAAAACATTTTTATTTGTAAATTAAAAAAATTTTATTAAAGACTTTTATAATAAAATTTACATTTTTTGTTTTAATTGGGCATAATAAGTTATTTGAAATTCAGCCACTTATTTTTGATTTGATTCTTTGAAAAATGCTTGCAAATTTATTTTCTAATTTAGTTAATATATAATTACTAATTTTAGATTGTAATCTATACATTTTATAATATTTTAATATATAAAACCGTACTTACACAAATTTTAATATAAATTCCCATTAATAAATTTAAGGATCATCAGAATAAATACACCGAAAAGTTATCACTGTATATGGGACGGAAAGATATACTAAAACAAGGCGAAAAAGAAACAAAAAGTGGTGCCAATTTAGTTATTTTTTTATTTTAAAAGCATTCAGTTTTGATTGAAATATTGTGTTAAACATTTTTATATTCAACTGTAAGAAGGATAATGTGCTACTTTATAATGAAAAGAAATAAAAAGTCAAAATTTTTGAAAATTGAAACGATAAATTTTCAATTTGAAAAAAAGCTAATAAATGCTTCATAATTAATATAATAAACGCGAAAAGTAATTTTAGGTATAGAAAATGTTACAAAAATTAAACCATCTGATTAATAATGATAATTTATGGAGAAATAATATATTACAACATTCAGCAATTCGATCAACAGAAACAGTAATTACAGTAGCAAAGTCATTTAAGATAACAACAACATCAATATTTTCAACAACAGAAGAAACAATAAAAATAAAAACAGGAAAAAAATACCGAAATAAAATTAATTTTGCATTAAAAAATAATAGTATTCAAACAAAAGTGATGTTAAGTTATTGTCAACATAATAAACAAAATAAATTAAGAAAGAAACAAAAATTCAGAAAAAAAGACTCATTCAAACTGTATTTTTAATTATAAATTAAATATTAATTTTTAAATATATCTTACACATTTTTTTGCTGTTTATTTGAAAATATGAAAAATATAAAAATTTAAAAAAAAACAAGATTTTGTTTTTAAATTTGAAGTTTTGGAAACTTGGTGTGTATACTTTAATAACATTAAACTACTACATAAATGTATGATGTATATATAGAGATTTTTACCTATTCAAATTATAAAAAAAGAAAAACATTTAAAATAATATTAAAATAAAGATTTCAGTTCAAAGAGTCAATAATAAAAAAAATATAACAAATTATATATTAAATTTAATAAAAAATAGGACAGAAACAAAACCTAATATAAAAAAAAACAATATAAAATTATCAAAGAAAAAAACAATATAAAGAAAACAAAATAAAACGAAAACTTTTTTTATATAACTTGAGTAATATAAAACATTAAAAATTCGTATTAAAAACACATTAACCACTATGGCGGATCATCTAGATGAGCCGCCTCAAAAGAGGGTCAAAATGGAAAGTTTTCGACAAACATCTGACCAAGGTATATATATGTTTTTTTTTAATTTGTACAATATTTTTAAATTTTGAATTTGTATGCACATTATAATCTATGAAATTGTATCCTTTTAAGGAAAAATTTTCCATATTGTTTTCTCTTATAGGCAGGTGATGAATGCTATTTTTCATATCAATTTATTATTTCACTTAATATTTTTTTTTAAAATAAAATAAACAAGATTGTTGTAGGTACTTAATACTTACTTTATCTATCATCCATTCAAATAGTTTCCTAATAAAAAAAAAAAAACTGTTACATATCCGTATCTTAATCCCTAACCTACATACGTATGTACCCAACTCCCTCTCTAGCTGAAAAATAAGAAAAAATGATCTATTACATAACTAATAGTACAGGTATACTTTTCAATTACAATAATACAAAGAAACTTGTGCAGTCAAGGCCAATGGCCATTTCGGTAATCTTAACAAAAATATACCCATATTCTGTTAGTTGCATGGCTTGATGTAATGGATTGTTATTTAAAAATCTTGCAATTTTCTGAACAAAACCGATTCCATAATTCGAAATTTTATATTGAAAAACAAAATCCTTTTCAATAATATTCCATTATCCTAAGTGATGCGAATAACAGAATATGGGTGATAGAAGAATCTAGGTAGGTACCAAAATTTTTTACGTAGGTATATTAGATTCTTTTATCTGAAAATTTTGCACTTTGTTGTGCCGGATTAAGACTTGGATTTCCTAAATAAAAAAGTAGCAGTAAAAAAAGTTAATTTTTAAGAATTATTGATTAGGTCAGTTAGGGATTCTTAAATTTTAAGGGTTTGAATTTTGTATACGAAATCAATTGTTATTTTTATTTTATTGTTTTATATGATTTGAAAATGTACATTGTTCATTTACAGATGCTCTTTCCAATTATGACATATTTGGTTTGGAAGATAATCTTCCAGATGAATTAGTATCTACTGGAAATTCAGGTGGTTGGGTTGATCAACTTACTGGCAATAAGCCACCTGCACAAGGACCTGGGCCAGGACAAATGAATGGCGAGGATCCTACAGGTGGTGTAGGAGTAGGACCGCAAGTAACAGCTGGCGGCCCTGGTGGTTTACCAAGCAATGTAGCGTTAAGAATGCAGCAGCAACAATTTTTAATGCAACAGGTAAGTCTTTTTTTACGTAAGGCTTAAAAACTGTATGGGTCTTAATGTAATTTATATAATATAATGTTATGTCGTTATAAAGAAAAGTGCAGCATTCTACATCTGATGAAAATTACCGAAATTGTTTTCGGAGGTTGCACTAAATTTAGTGATGTCAGAAAAGTTGTAAGTGTTATGAATTCTTAAAATTTTCAGAAAATATCACAAACGTCTTTTGAGTAAATTGAATTTACCCGCTTCATTGGTACTAGGTCTTGAGAAGTTTTTGTAACAAAGAATTCTTTTTGGATTTTTTTTGTTGACAATTATTTACAAGTAATCCAATGTTACAAAACAAAAACCATTTGGTTTGATTGACTTTCAGAATTGATGATTAATTTATTATTTGTACTAATTGATTATTAGATTGTGGATTTTTATGAAAGCAAGTATATTTCTATTAAAGTACACACAACATTAATTTACTTTAATTTTCTTTATTAAATGCTTGCATTTATATTTCTTCTACGTACAATGATAAATATGATCAATATAACAAATTTCAGAAATTAATTTCCTTCATATGTAATCTTACGACGATTTGGATATATGTATTTTCAATATATTTTTAATTTATAATATTTTCCTAAATTTGAATTTTTGTGTTTATTTAACAGGGAAATAAGAATTTAGTTGGAAATGCGTTGAGTATGGGTCCTTTAGGTAGTAAAAGCCCAAATTTACAGTCACCTTCCGGTTTACAAGGTAATATGTCAAATATGGTTGGTGGAATGATTAATTCAATGTCAATGTCAATTGCAAACAATGGTACTCAAAACATGAATATGCAAGGTAAGCTATTTATTTTTATAAATTGCTTTAAAAATATGTTTTAGTTCTTCAACGTTTATTTTCCAAATGGTTTTCATACTTTTGTATATTACTAAAAATTTGATAAAAACTAGTAAGATGTTTCTGTCTCTTTAGGACAGTAATTATATTTTACATCTTTTCAAAGCAGCACGGAGATTTGTGACTAGCTCGTACGTTTATATGAAAATTGACATTCTACAAATTTTCGCAGATTTTTTCCCAAAAGGAAAATTTAAGTTGACCAAAATTTAATATAGTTTTTGAAATGTACACGTAGATTGATTTTTTTTAAGAATACATAAGTATGCAAAAAAGACAAATAAGTGTATATTTCAGATTATGGTTCAGCTTATTTCCGATGAAATGTTTGTCGGATAATTTGTTTTTATCTAGTTGAAATATTCAACAAAAAGTTAATAATTTAGTAGTAAATAAAAGTAGATAAGATACCTAGCTACCTTTATTTAGAGTCAAACAGGATGTCAATGTTTCTTTATTGTCGCATGACAATTTTTTTTTACTAAATTATGTATGTGTTTTTAAATTTAATTTTTCGTTTTATATTTCTTATATTTGTGATGTAGGCATGAATAGTATTGCTTCACAAGGAGGAATTGGAAACGTAATTTTAACGAATAGTAATCTTGGTCCAATGGGTATGCAAGGCACTGGTGGTATGGTAACGTCTAACCTAAAACAACAATTGAGCGGAGGTGGCAATACTTTATTAGGCCCAGGTGTTCAAGGTAATTTAATTGGTGGTGGTGGTCCTCAAGGCAACGCGATGCATCATGGTGGAGGCTTAGGAGGATCACATCCAGGAGTTCAATCAATACAGAATGGTCCTATAATGAATGTATCTGTTGGTAACCGTATGATGTCGCAGCAACATGCAATTATGCGTGGTCCAAATCCACATTTAATGCCAGGAGGCGGTGCCGGTGGTGCAAATGTTGTTGGAGGTCCTGTCGGTAATGCAGGACCCCGTATGCAAAATCCAAATATACCAAATATTGGCAATTTTTCGAACACAACAAAAATTTTAAGCAACCAATTTACCCAATCTCAGACAGGTAATGTAAATTTAGGACAAATAACTATGGGAGGAGCGGGTGGTCCAAATGGACCTTATGGCAGTGCCTATGCAGGAGGTAATCCAAATCAACAGCAACAGAGTAATGTGAATGTGGTAAATCAATCGGTAGCAGCCGCACTTGGTGGACCACAACAACAGAACATGATAACAATTGCTCAGCAACGGACTGTACCTCCAAATATGTTGATGCAACAACAAGCAGCCGCAGCAGCGGCGGTTGCAGCACAACAGCAACAACAACAACAATTGCAACAACAACAGCAGGGAAATCGACCTGGGGGCCCCATTGGTTCAAGTATTGCGCCAGGAGGAATCGTTGGGAATGATGGACAAAATGTTATTGGTGGTAATCCCGGGAATAATCCTAGCGGATTGGTAGGTCAACAAGGAGGCTTAAATGCACCACAGCAATCTATAGCGCCAACTGGGGTCCAACAGCAAAGGCCACCTTCATTATTAAGTCAACAGCAAGCGCAACAACAACAAAATACACAGCAGCAACAGCAGCAACAACAGCAGCAGCAGCAGCAACAAAATCAAATACAACAACAGGCTGGTGGTCCAGCAGGGCAATCTGGACAACCCGGTCAACCAAATCCAATACAACAACAAGCAGCTTCGGATAAAAAGAAACAAATTCAGCAACAGTTAATGCTTTTACTTCACGCACACAAATGTACACGACGAGAGAACGAAAATCCAAATAATCCGCCAGATTGTAAAATACCGCATTGTAAGACAATGAAAGATGTTCTAGCTCATATGGCTACATGCAAAGCTAATAAAGATTGTTCAGTGGCACATTGTATATCATCACGACAAATTTTGGTTCATTGGAAATCATGTCAACGCCCTGATTGCGGGATTTGTTTACCTTTTCGGCAAGGAGATAAGCTACGCCAACCAGGTACATCAGGAATGCAACAGCAACTACAGCAACAGCAACAGCAACAACAACAGCAGCAACAACAACAACAACAGCAACAACAGCAACAACAACAACAGCAACAACAACATCAACAACAGCAACAGCAACCGCAACAACAAAATCAACAAAACGTTCCAATAACTACAAATGTACAACAAAACCAAACTGGTGCTGGTTCCGTTCAACAAGCTAATCAATTATCAGGACAAATCATGGGCTTAAATCAGCAGCAAACGCAGCAACCAAACTCGTCAACGTCCACAGCGACTCAGATAAATCAACAGAAATTGAATCAAAGTGATTTTGAAAAGCAATTGGTTCAACAACAACAACAGCAGCAGCAAAAGCAGAGCAACCGATTTGAACAAATGCAAGGTAAAATATAACAAAAAGTAATTAGTAATTTTATTTTAATTTTTTTTTCATTCAATACTACATAGGATCTATGTCAGGCTCAGTAACTAACGCAAATCTCATGTCTACCAATCAAGGGCAACCTCAAATGACAACAGGCCTGGTCGGTAACACTAATGTTCGTATGCCAAATGCAACTGCAGGTGGTGTTCAAGTTTTACTACCAAATAGACAAGGGCAACCGAATCAACTTGCTGGAAACATTTTAATGTCACCAGATTTGCCTACTGGAACCCCTCAACAACAACAACTGCTAGGACAGAATATTTTAAGTGGACATGTTGTTTCATTAGGAAGTCAACAGCAAGGAAATTTGTCAGCAATGCAACAACAACAGCAGCAACAGCAGCAGCAGCAGCAGCAAGCACAATTAAATTCAAATAATCAAAGTAGTGTTGGAGTACCTGGTGGTCCTGCAAATAATTCTGCTGTGCAAGCCGGGCCAGGAGGACAAAACATTCCAATGTTTAATAATTCTAATACAACGTCAAGTGGTCCGTCATCGGTAGGTGACGGTACCACTAAACCTATTACAGGAGTACAATTGCAGCAACAAATGAATAAGCTAGCTTCAAATCCTGGTGCACCTCCACAGTTGCCCCCAGGTATGCCTTCTGTTTCAACAATGCCATCCGGTGTTACAAAAGATTGGCACAGTTCAGTTACAGCTGATTTACGTAATCATTTAGTACACAAATTAGTTCAAGCCATATTTCCAACATCAGATCCCAATACGATGATGGATAAAAGAATGCATAATCTCGTTTCATATGCTGAAAAAGTTGAAAAAGACATGTATGAAATGGCAAATTGCAGATCAGAATACTATCATCTTCTGGCTGAAAAAATTTATAAAATTCAAAAGGAGCTGGAAGAAAAACGTCAAAAAAGGAAAGAACAACAACTGTTATTGCAACAACAGCAACAACAACAACAACAACAGCAGCAGCAAAATTTGCAACCGGGTGGACCAGGAGGAACACAAGGATTGCCTCCTGGATGTAATCCAAACGCAACCATTGGCCAAATTCGACCTAATAGTGCTAATTTGATTCCCGGAGGAATGGTTAGTCCTTTAGGGAATGTAAATGTAAATACTATGCAGGGTGTTATGCGAGTTCCTGGTCCAAATCCTGGTGGATTAGTTAGCCAAACACAAGCCCAAGTTGCAGCTGCAATGAGGTCGCATTCACCGGGAAGTTTGCCTGTCCAAAATATGGCTGCAATGCAAGCGCGTATGCAATTTAATCCGAATCAGCAAAATAATAATGCCAACAGCGCTAATAATTCTGCAATGTTAGTGGCACAATCAGGACCTAGTCCTAACGGTTTAGGTGCAAATATGCAAAATCCGGTTTTATCGCCATTTCAAAATCAAGGACCACTTTTAGGTAATGCGGGACCGAACAACGCTGGAAATATGTCAGCCACAGGAAGTCCATTCATTAATGCGAATTCAGGCCCGGTAAATGCAAATACAAACGGTCCCAATGTACATACAGCAGCCAATATTAATCAATTTAATGAAATTATGTTAAAATCGTCAAGACAACAGCAACAGCAGCAACAGCAACAACAACAGCAGCAGCAGCAATCGCAACAACAAACTAGTCAGCTATCCGCCCAAACTTTACAGAATCTACCACAAGCTCCATCACCATTTAGTAATCAACAATCGTCTGCCGGCCAGATTACACAAAATTCAACCCCTAATACAAATGCGTTTGTACGTAATAGCAATAGTAATTCAAATATGCCACCAACACCGACGTCAGTTTTAGATCAATTAAATAGTGTATCCAATTCGAATTCAGTTGGTGGTAACAGTTCAGTCGTTGGTATGACAGCGGCAACCGTTATGGCTGGAAATAATCAACAGCAACAGCAACAAAATAGTATGGTACCAGTTCCAAGTCCTTCACCGTCATTGTCTTCAAATGGACCAGTACAAGTTGGTACGCCGAGCGGTCCTCCAAGTGTTCCATCAATGATACAGTCACTAACTAGCACTGCAGCGGGTATGGCAACAGAACATCCCACTCCAACACCACCTTTAATGACATCACCCGTACAAAATAATTCCACAACAGTCACGCCATCTGTTACGCCTACACTGCAAAATAGTATAGGAAAAGGGGGTAATAGTAACAGCAGTAGTACTGGTGGTAACTCAATGCCTCTTCCACCGAGCAGGCCAGCTTCTGCGTCAACGAATTTATCGTCTCAAATGGCAGCTTTGGAAGCGGCTACTCGTGATAATGATGATACACCGCCATCACCGCCTGATAATCAAAGTGGTGGCGTATCACAAAAAGGCAAATTAGATTCAATAAAGAATGAAGATGATATTAAAAAGGAAATGGATGATGACAACGATATGGATTCATCTGGTGCTGGAGCTGGTAAGAATGCAAATAATGATGATAGTGAAATTAAACAGGAAATAAAATCAGAACCTATGGATGGTGATAATAGCAATAGTACTGTAGTAAAAAGTGAAGATGTTAAAATAGATGTTAAAATTAAGGATGAGCCAATGTCACCCAATTCAACAGCAGAAAAAATTAAAGCACCTGTATCTGAACCAACGACAACAAGTACAACCGAAAAACAAAAGAAATGCGGTAATTACGAAAATACTGGATATAAATCATTCCATGTTTTAAAGCTTTTTTTTTTAATTTACAGTTTTTGACCCAGAGGAATTAAGACAAGCATTGATGCCTACTCTAGAAAAATTAATCAGGCAAGATCCAGAATCTATGCCATTTAGAACACCAGTTAATCCACAAGCTCTAGGTATTCCGGATTATTTTGACATTGTGAAAAGGCCAATGGATTTAGGCACCATTAAAGACAATTTAATTAGTGGAAAATATGCTGATCCATGGGAATATGTAGATGATGTTTGGCTGATGTTTGACAATGCTTGGTTGTATAACAGAAAAACTTCAAGAGTATATCGATATTGTACCAAAGTAAGTGAAATTTCAAACAGATGAAAAATTCTAATTTTCAATAATGAATTAACGTACAAAATATAAATATACATAAATTACTCATTATTTTTTAGCTTTCCGAAATTTTTGAACAAGAAATTGATCCAGTTATGCAAAGTCTAGGATATTGTTGTGGTCGTAAATATACATTTAATCCCCAGGTTTTGTGCTGTTATGGAAAACAATTATGTACAATTTCTCGTGATGCTAAATATTACAGTTATCAAAACAGGTAGGAAATTTTGATATGTATTTTTCTTTTAATTTTACAATTGTTTCCTTTTGTTAAAATTTGGAAACAGTTTTCTTTTGTATTCAAAATAATAAAATATGAAAATTTTATAAAGACATTGTTTACCTAAATTGTGTACTATTCATTTTACCTTTGTAAAACAATAATTTTTACTAAAATTTAAAATTCATTTTAAATAATAAATTTCCGTTAATATTATTTGATAAATAAATTTAACATTTTCATAGGCATAATGTAAATATTGTCAATCATTATCCTTAACCATGATTCAGTTATCATTAACTTTTTTCAAATTACCATCTTTCCTATTTTTTAATTTCATGATAGAAAAACTTACATCAAGCAGTCTTGTTAAAAAAGTTAAAAAAATCATGATTAATATTTGACTAACAGTAGAAATTAATTTTTTATTTTTTTTATAGAATATTTAAAATGATATTCAATTTATTTTATTAATTTTTTTTTCATTTTTGAACATTTATTGATTACAATAATATGTATAGTATGTATCTTGTTGATAACAACAATGTAACAACAAGCATTTGTATTTTTAAAAGTTTTCGCAAGTTTTGCTCTCGTGTGGGGGAACATTGATTTTGTAGTCTTTATGCTTAATATTTTAAAACTAATTTTAAATCGTGAATTAGAATATTTTTGAGGTACATATAAATAAGTTGAAAGAGGGTATGACACTTTATAAATTTCCTCATCATATTATCAAAAAAAAGTTAATAAATAAACATACAGGGATTAATTTCAATTTTTAACATGTTCATAAAAAAAAAAATAAAATCTTAAAAGTACTCTGAATTTTATAATTCTATATTAATGCGGGTGGATATGTAAATATTTATGATTTTTGGTTTTTTTTTCATTTTTGTAACTTTTATTTATTTTGTAGAATTGTACACAAACTATATAATAATTGTTACAAAAAAAAATAAAAATATAATATGCACTAATATTAATTTTTTGTTTTTTTTTTTTCATTTACTTGTTTCATTTCGCAATTCATTAATAATAAAATGTCAATATACATATAAATATAAAATATAATAAAAAAACAATGCTTGTATCCTGCACATTATATTACATTCACTATCTCGCTTGGATTTATATAAAAAAATATGTTTACACAATAATCAAACTGATTTCATTTTACAACAACCAATATATAAAAATAAATACAAAGTCTAAAGGCATATGGTGTTGTTTCCGATAGATATACATTCTGCCAAAAATGTTTCAATGATATACCCGGTGATACAGTAACATTAGGGGATGATCCAATGCAATCACAAACGTAAGTATTTTCATATTTGTTTTATCTTAGCAAGTAGATATTTTTTCGTTATAAAAATCATAATATATTAATAAAGAATCTTACAAAATCGATTGATAATTTTTTCAATATAAGTACTTTTAAAAAGAAGAAAAACTTTATTACTCGTAATTCTAAAGAGAATATTTTTTTTGATTGTATAGAACAAAATCAGTTTTCATAAAGTGCGTATGGTCTGCATTAAATACGTACGTAATTAAGGAAAAAGAAAATTTTCCTTCTTTTTAAAAAGTGTTAGTTGATTATAAAGTATTATCAAAATAATTTTGCTTTTATTATAAAAACGTTAATTGATTTATTATTTGATTTTTCATATTTTGAAAATTTAGTCAAATTAAAAAAGATCAATTTAAAGAAATGAAAAATGATCATCTTGAATTAGAACCATTTGTTGATTGCCAAGAATGTGGTAGAAAACAACATCAGATTTGTGTGCTTTATTTGGAAAGTATTTGGTCTGGTGGTTTTACATGTACCAATTGCATGAAGATGAAAGGCATTAAACGTAAAGAAAATAAATTTTCTGCGAAACGTTTACCAACAACAAAACTAGGTATATACATAGAAACGCGTGTTAATAATTTCTTGAAAAAGAAAGAAGCTGGTGCTGGAGAGGTACATATACGTGTTGTATCAAGTTCTGATAAAATAGTGGAAGTCAAACCTGGAATGAGGCGACGTTTTGTTGAAAACAATGAATTATGTGGAGAATTTCCATATAGAGCAAAAGCATTGTTTGCTTTTGAAGAAGTTGATGGTATTGATGTATGTTTCTTTGGTATGCATGTGCAAGAATATGGCTCCGAATGTCCAGCGCCGAATACACGTAGAGTGTATATAGCTTATCTAGACTCAGTACATTTCTTTAGACCGAGACAATATCGTACAGCTGTTTATCATGAAATATTATTAGGCTATATGGATTATGTCAAACAGTTAGGCTTTACAATGGCGCACATTTGGGCCTGTCCACCATCTGAAGGTGATGATTATATATTTCACTGTCATCCTCCAGATCAAAAGATTCCAAAACCAAAACGCCTTCAGGAATGGTATAAGAAAATGCTTGATAAAGGAATGATAGAGCGTACAATACAAGATTACAAGGACATATTAAAACAGGCTATGGAGGACAAATTGAATTCGGCCGCTGAATTGCCATATTTTGAAGGGGACTTTTGGCCTAATGTCTTAGAAGAAAGTATTAAAGAATTAGATCAGGAGGAAGAAGAAAAACGGAAACAGGCTGAAGCAGCGGAAGCTGCAGCAAACGCTGCTGTAAGTGTATGATAATTTTCTATTTACTCTAAATAAACCTTTGGGTCATTGTCTTAGACAAATTTTAAATAAATTTTTCTGATAAACAGATGTTCTCAGTTAACGAAGACAATGAAGCGAGTGGTGATGGTAAGAAAAAAGGATCACAAAAGAAAGCTAAAAAATCTAATAAATCAAAAGCCAATCAAAGAAAGAATAATAAAAAAGCGAGTGAACAGCAAAATGGAAATGATTTAAGTGCTAAAATTTTTGCAACGATGGAAAAACATAAAGAAGTGTTCTTCGTAATTCGTTTGCACTCAATACAATCAGCAGCTAGTTTAGCGGTATATAAAAAAAAAAGACATAATGTCGAATATTTTTAATAAATCTGCTTTTTGTTTTTAAATTATAGCCAATTCAAGACCCCGATCCATTAATGAACTGTGATTTAATGGATGGTCGTGACGCATTTTTAACAATGGCCCGTGATAAGCATTTCGAATTTTCATCTTTACGACGAGCTCAATTTAGTACTTTAAATATGCTTTATGAGCTACACAATCAAGGACAAGATAAGTTTGTTTACACTTGTAATAATTGTAAAACTCCCGTGGAGACTCGTTACCACTGTACTGTCTGTGATGTAAGTTTATTAGGACAAGATTTGTACCATTTCAAATATTATATATTAAATCTTAATCTCTTTTTGTTCTATTGTAGGATTTTGATTTATGTATGAATTGTAAAGAAAAAGTTGGACATCCGCATAAAATGGAAAGGCTCGGTCTTGATTTGGACGATGGAACTTCGCCTGGAAATGATGCAAGTAAACAAGCAAATCCACAAGAAGCCCGCAAGCAGTCTATTCAACGTTGTATCCAATCTTTGGTGCACGCATGTCAATGTCGAGATGCTAATTGCCGTTTACCATCTTGTCAAAAGATGAAACGCGTTGTACAACATACGAAAAATTGCAAAAGAAAAACGAATGGAGGTTGTCCTATTTGCAAGCAGCTTATTGCCTTATGTTGTTATCATGCTAAGCATTGTCAAGAAGCTAAATGTATGGTTCCGTTTTGTCCCAATATTAAACATAAACTCAAACAACAACAGCTACAGCAAAGGTAAATTTTGTTGGTCCGTTCGTCTTTTCGGTTTACTTAATTAATTTAAAAACATTTCAGGCTGCAGCAAGCTCAATTATTGCGGCGTCGTATGGCTGTTATGAACACCAGAACTATAGCTCCAACTAATCAGACTGTTTTGCCTCCAGGCGGCGTGCCTACTATGCAAGGAACTCCAGTTGTGGGAGCACCTGGGTCAGGTGGAATGAGTCCACAAACAGTATCTTCACCTGTTAACCCAATGAGTGGCATGACTAGTCCGCATCATCCTAGTATGGGAATGAAGCCAGGAATGCAAACTCCATCTCCCAATGTGTTGCAAGTAGTGAAACAAGTAATTTATTATTTATTTTAATTTTATAAAAGAATATTAAATAAAAATGTGTGATTTAGGTTCAAGAAGAGGCTGCACGACAACAAGTTCCTTCAAACGGCGGTTTTGGAAAAGTTGTCCCAACTGGTCCACAAATGGCGCCACCAAATATGCAAAGGCAGTTCAGTGTTGGAGTTGTTCCAAATCAACCAGTGCAACAGCAGATGGGTGTTCAAATGGGACCATCTGGTCCAACAGCTACTGGAAATAATCTTTTACCTATGGAACAATGGGGTAATCGATATCCGAATAATGCAAATCAACCAGGTTTGAGACCACCCACGCAGCAAATGATGCAACAGAGTGGAATGCAGAATCAGGTGAATTTTGTGTATAATTTTCGTATAATCCTAAAAACTAAATATATATTTTTCGCAGAACATGATGCAAATGGTTAATCCGGGTAATTCAGGTCAAATGAATCAATTAGCAATGAGACCGCAGGGAGGTCAACCCGTTCAGCAAGGAATGGGCGGAGGTGGCGGTGGTCAACAGCCTAATTTAGCTTTGAATACACAACAATTGACCCAAATAATGCAAAAAATTAAGAATAACCCGTCAAATGAGGGGCACAATCAAATATTACAAATGCTAAAATCTAACCCTCAAATTATGGCTGCTATAATAAAATCACGTCAACAAAGCCAAAATCAGGCTGGAAATGCTGGTGCTAGCGGGAGTGGTGCAGGTGTTCCGCAAGGTAATCCTCAGACATCACAAGGTCCTGGTGGTCCGATGGGAGGTAATTCAGGAGGAATGGGACCACAACAAGGAACGCATTTACAACAAATGATGACTCAACAGCAGCCACAGCATCCAAATCAAGTCGTTATGAATCCCAATCAAGTTCCCCACAATCGAATGCCCATGCAAAATCCTGGTATGATGCAAGGTGCAGGTGGAATGCAGCAAGGACCGGTAAGTACTTAACATTAGTTTAAGCATTTAAAAATTAATTTGATTTTATATTTTATTAAGCCTGTGCAAAATGCTGCTTGGTATAAACAACAACAAATGCTTAGGCAAATGCAAATAACACAAAATTATCCGGCTCCGCCATATCCACAAAGACCGCGAGCCCCACAAATGGGTCAGATGGGTCCTGGAGGAGGTCCAGGTGGCCCTGGTGGAATGGGTCCTGGTCAATTTCAAGGAGGTGTGAATACTGGTGGCGGAAGTTTTAATCCGGCAGATCAATATGCAATGCAACAAGGGCTTAAACCATCACAAGCAATTGGTGTACCAGGTGGTGTAGGTGTAGGTGTCGGTGGTGGAGGAATGGGAGGACCTGGTGGACAGTTAATGTCTCCTGGTGGTGTCCCGTTAGGTGCCGCTGGCTTAGGTGGTGGTGTTGGGGTTGGAGTTGGTTCTGTTGTTAATCCTCTTCAATCCGGTCAACAGAATGTTATGGGACCACCTCATACAATGCAGCAACAATTAATGCAATCGCCACCACCTATACGTAGTCCACAACCAACACCATCGCCCAGGTCAGCACCATCTCCCCGCGCACAACCATCAGCATCACCAAGAGCACAACCATCACCTCATCATTTACCGTCGCATTCACCAGCTCCACAAAATGTTGGTAATCCTAATGACATGCATAACCACATGCATCCACATCAATCTCCACTTGGGCCTGGGGGTCCTGGTGGTGGAGGAGGCGGTGTACCAAACGATGGTGGACCTGGTGGTGTTGGTGGTCCAACTGGTGACGCTGCATTGACTGCACAAGATCAACTAACAAAATTTGTGGAACAACTTTAGTATAACTAGTTATTATATAATTAAAAAAGAGTGTATAAAAAATTATTAAAGAAATTAAAGAAAAATAAATCATTATTTTTAAAGATGTAATTGAAAGAGATGAGTTGTTACTTACGCAACTTTGAGATATAATAATCAAACGTAAATAAATAAAGTCAAATCGTGACAAATATAAAACAAAATCGTTTATTTAAGCTTTAAATTTAAGAAATTATTGTTCGATTATTATAAAAAGTATATTTACATATTTATATAAACATATATGTACACAAATATAAACACATATATGTACGGACATGTATATATACATATGTTAATATATACCAAATGTATGAAATATATTTATATATTTGAAGCACGATAAATTAAAGTACATACATGTATTAAAAACAACGCCTATGTAAAAATAAACAAAAAATTTAAAATTAAAACTTAGAAATATTTTAGGTAATTTTTCTATTAATTTGTAGAGTTTTTAGTCTTGTAAATATTAAAAAAAAAAACATAAATTTAATTAATATGACAAATACTTTGTTTTAAATTCGTAGAGATAGGGTTAAAAAAATAAACAAAAAAAAACCAAAATAATTTTCATTATTACAAAAATTTAAAATTTATTCATAGAAAGCAGTTATTGGAACGTAGCGTTAGAAATATTTAACAAATATTAGTAGTTAAGTAATGATTTATGAAATAAAATATTTTAAAATTATAATTAAAAATATATATCAATATATATATATATGTATATATGTTTATATATATATAAATTGAAAATGATTTAAATATGTAAATTTAGTATATGTATAAATTAAAAACAAGCAAAAAGAGTATTTTTAAAATTTATAGGTTATTACTATTGTTTTTATTTTTTCTAAATAACTACACGTATAACACATATTATATAATATATACGTATATATTTTATATATATTTTGCAATCAAGAAAGAATACTTTTTTTTATTTTTGATTTTCTTAATTAATTTTTTAGTTCATTATTTAATAAATTATGTACGGGAAATCGTTGACGTAAAACATCTTTTTCGTAGCTTTTCTAAAATTAATCTTAAAAATCGCAAAATAATAATAATAACATTAGGAAATAATATTAAAAAATTTTAATTTTAATAAAATTACATCTATAAAGAAAACGTATAAAATATTTAGAAAATCGTCATTTTAAACAAGAAATAAATTATATCATTATAATAAAATGGTTAAACATAATTTGCTTAGAAATTTAAATAGTAAAAATGAATCAATATTTTAGGATTAACAAAAATTAAAAGAAATTTATAGTATGACAAAATAACAAATATACTGTGACACTAAATGGAGTAGTTTAATATTCTATTCTGTTTTTAATTTTCTAGTAAAAAAATACTTCAATTAATTCAAAATCGCTATCTGATAAGTTTGTAAATGATTATGATGGAAACAATAAAAGTGATAATTGAAAAGTTTTTTCCAAGTCGATATTTTTTTTCCAAACTTAATCAACTTCCTTTTCAAAACTCAAAGTGTATATGCAACCTAAAAAAACAGAAATTCGTTAATGTTAAAAAATATTTTTTCCTTTTTATTTTAATCTTTCCTAGATAATGTAATCAACAATATAATTCGAATAATTTTTCTTTATATTCGTAATATCATATAACTTCATAAAATTAAATATTGAAAAATCGGATAATATGATTTGTTACGTTTTTAATAAAAATTGTTAAGAATTTTTTTTTATTACAGGATCGTTAATTAAATATATTTAAATATATTTATATCAATTTGCTGCAATATCTTAAAAAAGAAAATACTTAAGTTTTTTCTTTCCATTTTCGATTTTTTAATAAATATGTGTACATATATATAAATTATGATTTACATTTTATTTCATACAAATTTTTTTGAATTTCTCTATATTTTCAATATTTAAAATTAAAATAAGAAATAGCCTCTCAAAAATAAAAAAAAAAATATAGTTATGTATATGCAGTCCTTTTCAATAATATTAAAATTGCTTTGTAAGCACGAAACTTTGAAAATAAAAAGAAATAAATTTTCCAAAAAAAAAGCAAATAGTATAAAGCTATTAATCTTTTGCTACAAATAATCCAAATCACATCCATTTCCTTAATTATTATTATTATTATTACTATTTTAATCTTTAATCCGTTATATTGTTTATGATGCTTTAAAATGTAAAAAAAAAAACAATGATTTCAAATAATACAACTATACGTACACAGAAAATACATTAATTATGAAGAAAAATTTATAAAAAATATTGTGTTTAAATGGGCTGTTAGTTTGATTTTTTAATGCAGATATACATATTTCCTTATTGATAATAACTGGAATTTTTATTAATTAATAAAAATTACATCAAATGTGTTATTCATTAATATTTTTTAAGTAATTTAAATATTAATTTTTTTTTTGTTTATACATAAATATATTTTAGTTTGATTATGAAAAGTTAAAAAAAATGTTAGTATCATATTAGTGTACCTACTAATATTAGTATGTAAATTTATTTAAAAATTTTATAGTAAAAATCCAAGCAAACATTCAAAAATATATAATATAAAATTATAGTAAAACTTTTAATATTAATTTTTCTTTTTTGTTTTTATTTTAAATTTTAAGTAATTGTTTTTAATTCACTTTATAACGAAATTTTCCTTTACTCTCAATTTAAGAGTTATTCTCACCCTTATAAAAAGAAAAAAAAATCACGATATTTTCACTTTTATACTAAATTATTAGGGATTATAATATAAATAATTAGAACTTTTAAATAATTTATAATAAGTTTTTGTATCGAGTGATATTTGTGTATGATGAAAGATTTTATTGAATAGAAATAAAATAGTGGATGTTGATGACGCTAATTTAATGGATAATTGATATGAGTAATATAGGGTTGTAAGGACACGATTTAAATAATAAATTTTAGTGATCTTAATTCGCGTGAAACACAATATATATATATATATATATATATATATATATATATATATATATATATATATATATTATAATAGCATTATGTAAATATAATAATTAATCCGAAGTTGCTTAAAAAACAAATAAATAAATACTTATATATATATATATATACATTTATACAAACGTACAATGATAAATAATAATTATTACTATGCATACTTTAATAAAACTGTTGTTGCTGACAAATGATAATATTGCCCTATAAAAAAAAGATGATCATAGTAATATTTATTATTAATTAATGTATTTGTAATTTTAATTTTAATAATAATATTATATTAATACATAGTATATTTTTTAGATATGCATGTATGTATATATAATCAAAGTTGCCTAATGTTTGTTAAATAGATTTTTTAACAAAGGATAACTATAAATTCAAAAACAAAAAAATATAGAATTTTCAAGTGTACATTATATATGCGTGTATAATGTGTATAAATATATATATATGTAAACATATTATATCTGTAATCTAATTCCTTTTGGATATAGATAGTATCAAGTTAGATACAGTATTCTAAGTGAGGAATTCAAGAAAGCTGAATATTTATGACTATGGATATAATAATGAAGACAAAATTTATATAAATACATATATAAATTTATATAAATTTATAAATACATTATATAAATTTATATAAATAAATATATAGATATATATATATGCACATATATGTGTGTATACGTATTACGTATAAAATTATAATAAACTATGATAAAATGAAAAGTAATTAGCAAGTTTTGAAATTTATGTAATTTACAAATACATATTAGTTTTATAATTTTTTTATTTCTTTTTTTTAATTTATTTAATTTTTTTTTAATAATTAAGACATTATCAAGCCAATAAAATACGATTTCATTCTTTTCAAATATACTATTAATTTATATAAAATAATAATAAAAATTTAATAAAATACAAAAAAATACAATATTCATTCTTTTTTTTTTCAATACACAATTACATAAAATATGTCAAAGATAAGAATTGTATCTATAAATAATAATCTAGCGTATATATTTTTTCATTTGTTATCATATTTTAAAAAAGAAAAGAAAATTATTGTAATTAAAAAAAAATTCATTCATATAACCTTTATACATGAAATTAATATAAAATTAATGATAATTTAGTTTTAAGGAAATTAAAATAGAATAAAACAATTAAAAACTAAATATAATTTAATTTAGATAATATATACATAAATGTAACAAAAGCGTTAGAAGAGGAATAAAAATATTCGAAAAAAAATTAATCGGAATTTGTTTTAATTTCGAAAAAATAAAAAAAAGTATACATAAAAAAAAAAAAAAATTCAACAAAACAAATTTTTAGAAATTACAAAATATAATTTTTATTTTTTCTATCTAAAATATTAAAATGATAAACAGTAATATAAATATTAAGTAAAAAAAGCTAAAGAATGTAATTGATTCTAATTATTATTTTCGAATGTGTAATTTGCATAATTCTTACATTGTATGCGTATAAATTTTATGTATATATTTATGTGTATGTACACATATATATATATATAGATATATTAAAATTTTTATGTAATTTTTAATTAATTTTAACTCTCGTTTACAATTTCAAAACAAAGATAAGGAGAAAAAAAATAACTTTATGATGAAACGAAGTAAATAAAAATTAAATAAGAAATAAAAAAAACACAAAAAGTTATTAATAATTTAAAAAATAATGAAACACACATACACGATAGAATTATTATAGGAAATACATAATTAAAAAATTAAAAAAAAAAATATTGTAAAAAAACTAAAAATTGCAAAAAAAAAAACCCAAAAAAAAAAAATTAATAAAAACACAATAGTATAAATATTGTATTAACATTAGTTATTTTGGACATAAAACAAAACAAAAAAAAAATTGAAAAAGGAAAATATTATTGTTTAAATTTAAAAGAAAAAAAAGATAGTTTTAATTTACAATCAACTTAATCTTATGATAAATTCTAAATGAAAACTTAAAGGTAATAGACAAAAACATCGGTAAAGATACCAAAAATTAGGACATTAATTTTTGTTATTTTGTTCATCTAATACAACAATGAATTCTTCTCGTTTTATATTTTTCGAGGTTTATGTTTAAAATATATTTTAGATCTAGCTTATTAATAATAATATTTTATTTTCAGAGTTTATTTTTGGCTAATGTATTTATTTTGATTGACTTGGCTTAGTTTTGAAATGCATTACGTATAATTATAATGGAAACTACCTAATAATTTTCATTTAGAAGTCTTTAATGACAATCATAAATCACTCCCCATAAGAATATTTTCGTTCTAGAAGGAGGGCTCACGTAATACTGAAAGTCTACTGAATTGAATTAAGTAATTTTTAAAAAATAGTCAGTGATTGAAATATTGTTTCCTTAAAATTCTTATAATCATTGTTAAAAAAGTTTTTCTTAATGATAGTTTTTTTTTTGAAATTAAAAAAAAAAAACAAATATTCTAATTATTCAAAATGTTTTTCCAAAGCAACTGCAAATTATGAAATTTATTTTTGGTTCTTCTTTCCCACTGCTGAAACTTTCAAAATTGAATTTTTTGCTGAAATTAATTTAATTTTCAATTTTCACTCAAATTGTTTTGTTTTTGGATCAAATTGATCAGATTGTGATCAGAAACTAATAAATGAAAACTGTATAATCTAATTAATTATTAAAGAATAACCAAGGATGATTTGGCGAAGTTTAAAGTATGTACGGAGAAAATAGAAGTAAGTTTGTACATATATAGAATTGTGCCAAATTACAAGGAAATAAAAAATTGAGCATTAATTAAGGTACGTATTGTATACAATTTTTAGTGTTTTACAGGAAAGCAATCAATAAGTAAAAAAATGAGGAGCTGTCTATTTTTGTTACAATGTATGTATAATGTCAGAAATTTGTTTTAAAACCTTGCACCTAATGAACCTTGTATATAAAAAATAAATAAGAGGCCCCAAGGCTGCATGCTGCAAAGATTCTTATGGTATCCTGTTTCTCATGGTAAAGTTGTTTAAATTAGGTTTACGGTAGTCGATTATTTTAGTTTTTTGTTTTTTACCTTATTGATCTTCAAATACATGTATAAATAATGTACAAATATATTTCCTAAATTTAAAATACAAATTTCACCAGCATAACCTTGCAGAGTTGCATTTATAGGTATTGAAACTTTTCCAAAAGTTATCTCAATGGGTATTGAACTTTATGCTTCCTCCTGTGGTACTGCTATTTTAAATACAACATATAAATTTAGAGCGATCATTGACATTACGAGTAATGTTTAGGTCTTGATATATGTGGTATTTTGTGTTTTGCCTACCTACAAAAATTGTTATAATGGAAAACCAAATTTCTATTTGCAATATATTGTTAATAAACTGTTTTCAACGTTAACGGGTTTAAAAAAACGTTTCTTTAAAAACTGTTGGAAAATTATTTTAAATTATGGTGTTGTTGATAATGCAATATGCTTCCGTATTTCTAACTTAGAACAACTTACACAACAAAGAGAAACGGCTGCAAAAACTACAAATTTGACGTTAGCATAAAAAAGTTTTTTCAGTTGTACCATATGTCCTTTAAAATTTCAAAAATGAAACCACAAAATTGAATATTTTATTATTTCCAATTCACTGAAATAAAAATTTAAAATATTAAAGTAATAACAAAAGAAATCAAGCAACAGTAAAATCAAACAGCAGCAAAATCAAAAGTGAGTTAGTGCGCATATTTCTTAAAAATCATGCAGTTATATGTAATTATAAAACAAATTGTAAAATTAGTACTGCATTTATTTTTTTTATTGTTACACATAGGGCACATTTAGTACTAAGTTAGAACTGAATTATCAAAACCGTAGTAATTTAATCTACTTTTGACACACAGATGTCGCTGTCAAAAGTAGATTTTTTTTTGTTGAGCTTTAGGAAGGTACATATTTCGTTTTCAATTTTTTCATGTTTTTTAATATTCCTATAGTTTGCGTATTTAATAAAGTTTCGGTTCCCTTCCGCTCTCTAAAACATCAACGTTTTTACATTTAGTTCAATAACGTTTTTGTTTCACGTATGATATTATATTAGCGCTAACGGATACTAGAACCACAAGTAAATAAATACAAATAATGAAGCCAAATTTAAAAAAGTCCACTTTTGATAGTTTTGAGAAAAAATGAAAAAACTGTAACACTATTTGAATAAATTCTGTTCCGTAAGATCTTAAACAAAAAGAAGAAAATTTTTGTTAGAAAGAGAGGAAATAAAAGTGTAGATTATATAAATAAACTCACTATGTATTTTTGAGTACTCGTATTTTTTGCGTATATGTATTAGAAGAATATAACTTGCAAATTGTTGACTTTAAATTTTTTTCGTAACAGACAATTTTACAAAATTGTAACTATTTTATTAAATGAAACTGATGAAAAATATATTTAACTGCACCATCTGCAGTAGGTCTTCGGGTTAATGCCTCTTTTATATTAATTAATAGTTGACAAAACTGAACTTTATTAATTTGGGCCCGTTTCGGCATTGCAAAACAATTCAAAAGTCCTGAATGGACAATCGCTTCAAGGGTGCGTATATAAGAAATTTAAAATCTTATGTAAAAAATCGAAATAAAAAAATTTATTTTAATCTACTGGTTGTAAGTTTAGTTCCCGTAAACTTTCTGAACATGACGATGGCGCTAAGATTATAAAAAAGATAATTTTATATTTGATAATGACTTTTGTGTTATAAAGTATGTGTGTAAGAATTTATGAAACTAAAAAAAAAAAATTTTGATTTTAAGACAAATGAATTTCAGCTTGAAATTAGCTGAAATTTGGCGTTATTTAAAATTGAGGTATGTTAAAACATTACCATTATATAAAAAAATGTTTAATTGAAAAATATATATAGCCTTAGCGATTAGGAGTAGAGACAAATATTAAAAAAAAATTATTGCGCAATATGTATAGTATAACAAATTCATACGATACTATAATTTTTCCCATTTTTTAAGGTATCTTCATGGTTATATGCAGGAGAATTTGCAATAATTATTTTTTTAGAATTTTAAAGAATATTTGTAAATAATCATTGTCATATTGCTTCTTGTCAGACCGTTTGACGCCAACTTGTGCAGTGAAATCACATAAAGTCTAAAACATTATTAGATTTTGCGTCCGTTTAACAAAAAACTCAATAATTATCTGTTATAAAAATCAATATTTTCTTATATAACATTTTATTAAAACAATCCTAACATGTAAAAACTCACCTTTATATGCTTGATTATATGTGTTGTAATTTGAGTCCCATAGTCCCACATTATATTTTTGAAATATAAAATTAAGTGTTTACTTTTTGATAATAGAAAAAGAATTAGAAACCCGCAACTTTTGCTATATAATTTGTTGCACTTGCATATTTCGGATTCTTCTTAAAGATATACATATATACATTATAAAATTTGGCAGGTATATTTTTGAAATGAAAAAAAATAATAAATTAATAAAAACTCACAAAATTTTCGAAAATGAAGAAGGTAACATCAAAATTTTGTAATTTGTATAAAAAGAACAATTCTTACCCGTAAATAATAGACAATGTATCTTCTTTCAGGTTTCGGCAAAATCTTTTAGTGTAAAATAAAACCTAATTTTAGCAACATTTTAGTGTAACATTTCTTGATATACTTAAAATATTAAATGTCTTTTGAACATAGGTTTTAATTTTTATTAGGAAAAGCAAAAAAAAAGGAAAAGATATTGTTGTAACCTGATAAATTTTGTACATGAGCATGTTCTATGTATGTACGAGTCCATTTTCCAAAATGTTTTATCATAACCATTATTATTTGATTGAAGATGCACTACTTTAAAAAATTAGATATTTTTAAGAGTTTGTGGGGCTACAACTTATTAATAAAGTATTTTAAATATTTTTATATATTTGGAAAGAGTTTTCATGAGTTGAGACAAATCAAAATGCAATTAAACTATTAACATACACGAATTTTTATTATAGAATATGAATTGATTAGTAGTTTAGTTATTTCCGAAATTATTTTATGATATCAAGAATCTCACAAAAAATTCAAAATTCGATATGTATATGCCATAAATTTCTGAACATGTGCATAATATACCGCTCACAGTAAGTGACGAAAAAAACATGCAAACTCCCACTGAGTAATGTAGTGCCAATGTCCTGGTCAACATTCAATTTTTTCAAATACAATAAAAGTGTATGTTTTTTGTCTACAAAGAATGGAAATATTAAACTAAATTTATACTAGACATGTTGAGAATTTTCTATAACCATGCGACATAATATACGTAAATGTATTTGTGTGTGTTTTTAGTTAAGAAAAATACAAGATTTCTGATTGCGTTAACAAGTGCGTTAAATTTTCTTTGATATTATTTTTATAAAAAATATTTCAAATTTCTGGGAATTAATTGAAGTGTTGCAAATTTTTATAATTAACCGATTTTTTTGTTCTTATAAAATGATTAGTTTTGTAGTCCTCTTATATCTATGTCCTTATAGAACGAAAATTTTTAAAATCAAGTCTTTATAGATTAAGAGTGAATA